TCGCGCCTTCTCCAGGGTCGCGAAGCCGTGCGACCTGGCCACGCTCTCGAGCGGCGGCACGATGAACGTCTCGCCGCCTGGCCGCTGCCTTGCAGAACCGCCGGCGGCTCCCTCCGCGGGCGCCTGCCGCGCGGGTCCCGCGGCATCCGCGCTGGCCGCAGCCCCTCCGACGCCCGCGCCCGCAGGCTCGCTGGCGGTCTCCCCCGCCGCGCCTCACGCTCGCGCGCTGGTGCCCAGCTTCTCGGCCCAGCGCTGGCGCGTGGCCGCCGTCGGGGCCTGAAGGGCGCCGATGGGCTCCTTGGTCCCAGGCAGCAGGCTCTTGCCCAGGTCGTTGCGTGCCTGGGCCCGCGACCCTGTCTTGGCCCGCTTGTCGGCGCCCTTGCACGGGTCTCGCAGGCCGTGCCACGCCATCCTGGGCGCCCTCGCGTACACGTAGCACGAGATGCACACCAGGAATGGCTCTGAGCTCATGCTGAGCACCTGGCCCTGCGCTGCCATCGATAAGGAAGCCAGGGTCTCGCGACCGATGGGCGGTCAAACGTGGGCCACCCACATCGCTTTGAAACAATAAGAAATGCGCCAGGGTCTGGGCCCCAGGAAGACGTTCTTTATTCAATGCCGCCGCCCTGTATTATATAATATTGTACTTCAGTATATTAGAAAAATATGCAATATCATATTCAATTCCATTACGTTATATGGTGTTATAGTAGATCACATTGTATTATAATATGTTATACCGAGTGGTAATGTATTCGAGTGTCTTAAACTATCTTGCATGTTAGTACACGATACTAATTTTAAGTTGTATAACTGTATGTATATATATATATGTACATGGGGGAACCATGGGGGGGGAACCAACAAATACCCATACCACTTCTCTCCGCACCTGTCCCGGGGTGCGGTCTGACCAGAATTCCAAGGCGAATCCAGCGGTGGCGACGAGGGCCTCTCAAGAGGCCCATAAAGGCGAAACCGAGCCAAAGAAAAAAGAGTTCTTACCGGTTTCCGCGTTGGCCGACAGGCCCCACCGCCGTCCAATCCTCCACCTGGCCGCACTCATCGCGCCCCTCCTCAGCAGCGCCTCCGCCTGCCGCCCCCTTCCCCTCCCACTTCCGCCCCTCCTCCTCCACCTCGTCGTCCTCGCCATCCTCCCCCTTATCACCCCCGTCCTCATCTCCGCCCGCGCTCTCTTCATCCCCAGTCCCCGTGGCCCTCGACGTCCTCGCCAGCGCAGCGCCTCCTCCCGCAACCACAGGCGATGAGAAAGGCGCTGGGGTACGTGTCGCCGCCTTCGCCGGGCGGCCTCCGCGCCAGGCCCCTGGAACTTCGGTCCCGTCGCCCTCCGAAGCCGGGAAGGCCGTCAACGAAGTTCGCAATCTTCCCCTCGGCCCCTGCGTCAATCACCACGGCGCGAGCCCCTTGAAGGAACGACTTCGTCAACAAGTCCGCGAGCCCGCTGGTCAAGAACACTCGCCAGAGAAAACCATAGCCGAGCGCGTCCAACTGCGACCGCTGCAAGCTTGGCGCGGGCGTGAGCCGTCCAACCCCCCTCCCCGCTGTGGGGAAACGTCGCAGAAGATGAAGATGTCCATGCGAGGGCTCGACCTGGACATGTCACGCATCATCTTCCTGGTGGCCCGCATGGCTGCGATGTCACGCCCCATCCTGGCAAAGCGCGAGAGTTGTGGGCAACACTTCGGTGCGACGCTGATGAGCTCGTTCGAATCGCAACCAAGTCCTTCGGCGAAAATGTGTGCGAATGCCATGGACGCGCATCTCATGAATTCGATATCATTGACAAGCTCAGCCATCGCAGAACTACCTATGGGCCGGTCATGCGCAGCACGACAGATCGGCCCCCCAGGGTGCGAAGGGCAACTAGCACATGGCAAGCCCCCGGCTGGACATTACGCAAAGCCCAAGCCACGCGCTTCGACGAAGACCCAACGTGCAAGAGCAACTTGCGCTTATTCGCTTGGATGCTCACCGCGACGCTGCGCATCGACTGGCAGCAACCGCCCACAAGTTGCCATGCCAGATTGAATGACAAAGGTGCGACGCGCGTTGGCAGCGCGCGTGCTGCCATCAACTGATTCACCATAATCTCGCAGAATGCGCCAATCTCTGGCGCTCACCCCCCATCGTCTGGAGCGGTGCGTTGTACGGCCAGCCCACACATAACAGCAAGAATTGGCATCACGCTTCCGTCTACATCAGCGGGCTCACAACGCCCGCACTTGAATGGCAGCCGACGCGTGCTCTGCATAGCCTTGCAAGCGTTCGTGAGAAGTGCTATCAACAAGTGGAAAAGTATGAGACTGGACGACACAAGCGGCGACAACAGCACCAACCGACACACGAACGCCTGGCCCAATGTTCGCCCCATCTGGTAGAAGCTGGTCGTGTTCTGGCCACCGAGGGTGGGTTCCGCCCTGCAGGGCGATCGCCGAGAACACGCGCAGCAAATGCCGTTCGGCCCTGTGTTTGCCCGAAGACGAGCCTGCGATACTGTTATCGTCGCTGTCCTGGTGCACTAGTGGGCCAACTTCACCCTGTAAGGGTGGGAACACATTGGGCCCAAATGGCAGTGGAAATTGTGATGGCGTTTTTGGTGACGGTCCATCTGGCTTTGACTGTCAGTCGTTAGTGACTCTAGTAGTGTTCTGCTGCTGGGGTGCATGCTAATGCGGCTGTGGTATTGGTGAAATGTTGTTGGGTGCGGGTGCGGTGCGACAGAACCTACCGAATTATATGAAAGACACATAAACGAAAGAAGAAACAGAGTCATACAACAAAGCCCCAACGACTTTAAAATCATTATCTCGTGTTCGCGTAATTCCCACACGTCCTCATCAGTCCCGCGACTGGGGGCAATGGTCAGGCGTCAATGCGTATCCCGCAGATGTACGCGCTCTAACGTTCTTGCCAATTTTCAACGATAAAGGCACTGAAGAATCTACGCGGGGGAGGAACGCCCCAGATGGAACCACACTGGTGCCCAAAGAGGCGTATTAAACCGCAAGACTGCCCCTCACCACACCTTCCTCCTCCTCCTCCTCCTCCAGCACCTCCTCAAACTCTTCCTCGTCCTCGTCCTCGTCAGTTTCCCCGATGCCAGCGACTCGGACGACAACGATCCCGCTCGCGAAGCGAGGCCGTGGGTCGAATAGCGTCTCCTTCGCTGGCCAACGCGTTTTTCAAACCTATGGCTAGTACGCGTGCGGCTGGTCTTTGTCAGGTCAAAACCTCCTCCTCCTCCCCTCCTCCTTCTCCTCCTCCTCCTCCTCCTCCTCCCCCTCCTCCTCCTCCTCCTCCTCCTCCTCCTCCTCCTCCTCCTCATCATCATCATCATCCTCCTCCTCCCCTTTTCCCTCCTTGCCTCCTCTGTCCTCCTACGTCTTCCTCCCTGCTTATCATCGTCATTGTCCTCGGGGATTCCCATCGTGGGGCGATTCGGCGTCTTTGCGAGGGTGTCTCAAGCAAGAGCCCCACATCGGGACACGCCCGGGTCGAGAGCGATAGCCTCGGACTGGCACACGCCCAGCGCGCCCCAGCGCGCGCCGGCATATCCCCAGCACGATTCCCTGGGGGCGCTGCGGGGCCTGCTTTTCTCGCGCGCCGGGGCCGGGACACGCCTGGTGCGCCCCAGCGCGCGACTGAGGGCCTCCTTGGGGAGGCTCGGGGGGCCGTTTTCGTAAGGATGTCCCACGCGAGGGCGACGGTTTGGAATTCGTCGCCGGATGTCCTAGATTTCGCGGATTTTCCTGAAACGGAACACAGGGGCCTCTGTAGGACCTCCTTGGAAAGGCTCGGGGGGCCCATTCTCTGAAGATGTCCCACGCGAGGGCGCCAGCTTGGAATTCGTCGCCGGGACTCCCAGCTTCCCCGGAAACTCAACAAGGGGGGCCTCTGGGGGCAGGTTCTCTGAAGATGTCCCAAGCGTGGGCGCCAGTCTGGAATTCTTCGCCGGATTTTTCAACTTCCCCTAAAACGGAACAGAAGGGGCTCCCTGGGGGCCTCCTTGGCGGGGAGAGTCGGGGGGCCGCTCGTTTCTCTGAGGGTGTCCCACGCGAGAGCGCCGGTTTGGATTTCGTCGCAAGATTTCCCGGATTTTCTGGAAACGGAACAAGGGAGGCCCTCCGGGGAGACCCTTAAAAAAAAAGATCTTAAAACAAATAAGGATACTAAAACAAAATAGCGAGCTCGATGTTGCTATTTGTTTTTGCAATCCGTTATTTGTTGTAAGATCCGATCTTCTCTATGTTGCTATTTGTTTTAGATCTTTTATTTTTTTTTGAGACCCTCCCGAGGCCCTCCGCTTTGGACTTCGTCGCCAGATGTCCCGGATGTCGAAGCTGAACAGGGGGGCGGTGGGACGGCCCATTCCTGCGCGACCCCGGGCCGGGGAGGCGGGGGTTCTCAGGACGAGCTCCCTCAAATCATAGCGGAGAAGAAATGGGAGAATGGATTGCACAAGCAGTGTCGGAGCTAATTCGGTCGCTCTAATGGTTTATCGCTTGTTTCGTTGCAGCACAATCGTTTGTGCAATGCGTATGTCTGGCGGGCTATGGCACGCCATTGTGAAATTCACACACAATTGCGTTCTTCGGGGTGACAATTTCGAGAAATACTCAGGAAATTGTACAATTATCTGTGTGCAGTGCTTTGGTTGGTCGCCTCTAAGGGTTGCAACCGTTTGGCAGGTCTAACGTTGCAGCTTTGCCGGCCGCTGGATTCGCCAAGAGCAGGTTTCCAACATCGCCGGCATGTCGACCGACACGTGGCATCTCTTCGTAATTCGCTTCAAGCGAACGCGTGCCGTCCATCCTTGCGAATTGGCAGCTCATTGACCCAGCGCATTCACACGCAGTCCCTGCGGCCGCGGGAGCATCGTGCCGTGTCCCGAGCAGTGGCGACGCCATCAAGCCAGCCAGGAGCATGCCTGCAAAACGTTGCGAAACTGATTGCGCTGCTGGGCACCCTATTTTGCTCCCAACCCTTTTGCTAAAATGACGATCGAACAACACGCACCCATACCCATAGGGGGGACGGAGGAGGCTATGGGTGCGTGTTGTCGGATGGGGGTCCCCGCTCGAACGGGAGCTTCCCCCAGGGTCCGACAACTCGCACCCATACCCATAGCCAGTTCCCCTCCTTTCGACCCTCCTATGGGATGGGTGTGAGTTGTTCGCTCGTCATAAAAAGCCTGCATCGTTCTTTGGAAACGGCGCCTGATCCAGAGTTGTGGCCCGCGCTGTGGCGAAAGAGTCATCGGAACGACGGAAGCAAGGCGTCGATCCGAGAACGAAGCCAACCCTGCAGCGGGAGCACAGCTGTGAAGCACCAGAGTAGTTCCGATTGAAGGCAATAGGCATACGAAACATCAACTTTTGAACATCCGATGCGCGAACAAAAACAATGTACTCGGGAAGGTAGCCCCGCTGGGACAGCATCCGGGAAGAGAGCAGCTGTGGAGGCGAGGAGGAGGAGAAAGGGGAAGAGGAGGATGAGGAGGAGCAGGCGGGGAAGCAGGGGCAGGAGAAGCTTGGGGAACGTGAAGGATGCGCGCGAGAAGAACGAACGAACGAACGAACGAACGAACGAGGAGGAGGAGGAAGAGGAGGAGGAGGAGGAGGAGGAGGAGGAGAAGAACGAACGAACGAGGAGGAGGAGGAGGAGGAGGAGGAGGAGGAGGAGGAGGAGGAGCAGAGGCGAGGAGGACGGACCGCTCCAGCAGCGGCATCAGCGTCGCGCTGGTCAGCGGCAGCCCCCGCAGCCCCGCCAGGCCGCAGCTGGCGTTGCAGGCCCAGCTGCCGGGGCTGCCTCCTCGGCCAAGGGGGGCGGGGCACGGAGGCTCCTGCCGCTCCTCGGGGACCGTGCTCCTCCGAATCTGATCGGGGGCGCGCAAGCGTGGATTAGCGATCCATGGATGTGGCGCGCGATCGCCAGATCCATGGATCGGGGGAGGTGCCCTCCCAAAAATGCGGCCGGCGCCGCCTCGTTCGGCGGCGGAACTCCGCGATTTCGTATGGAAGCGGACACCGTCGCTAATCCACGCCCCCTTAATCCATGTTTGCGATCGCCTGATATAAGCCTCCTCCTCACCCTCCGCTGTCTCCCCGTCCTTTCTTCACTGGAAGCACGATTCGACGCGGACTGCCAATCCGAACTGCCGCAAGTCACGGATCTCATGTTCTCCGCGGGCGCCAGCTCTACTACAGGACCTGGTTGGCATGCGACGCTTGTCCATGCTTCCCGTCATCTGATAATTCTCTCCCCCGCCCCGCCCACCCCCCTCTACAGACAGTCAGGTAAGTTGGTACGGTTTGAAAACCCAGCCCGAAGTCCCAATTCGCACGAAAGCGCCTGACTGTCGGCCCAGCCAGGCCAGGGACCGTCAGCCCAGCCAGCCTGGGGAAAAAGGAGGTTCTGGCCATCGCTCGGACGTCCATTCCCTGTGTTTTGTTCGGTTTCGTGCGTGGTTTTTTCGCTAAATGATCAAGGATGCTCCTCGATGGTCTTCGCCGAAGGAACAATGCACACGTCCGAGCGATGCCAAGGGTTTGGCGGCATGTCGCGGGCGATGGGCGCAGCGCGTCGGGCGTCCAAAAAAACGAGAGCGGGGGCCCCTCCTCTGGACGTTGCCTGGGGGCCCCCGCTCGGGAGTGTCCGCCTCGCCTCGGGCGTCGGATCCCGGTACGGCTCCGCTGCGGACCCTATGCGGCTCCGAGGCTCGTTGTGGACGGGTCTTGTGAGAATTCTCCTCATCCTCCTTCTTCTCCTCCTCCTCCTCCTCCACAATTACTCAATATGAATACTACTCTCCCTCTTCCCCTGATGACGGTTTGAAAGTGGCCGACCCCCACCCCGCGTACTGTTTTTTACACACAGGTTTCCCCGGAGTTGGGTTTTCGCCTGCATGTTTTTCAAAATGCTGCTCTCGCTGAGGCGCCGGCCTTATTTTCGGGCCCCGCTCGTTCCGAATCGTGCTCCCGCTGCAGCGCTGGCCTCGTTTCCGCGCTTCCGCTCGTGCCCAATCGTGCTCCCGCTGCAGCGCTGGCCTCATTTCCGCGCTTCCGCTCGTTTCGACTCGTGCTCCCGCTGCAGCGCTGGCGTCATTTCCCGTGCCATGCCACAGCATGTAATGCAATGCTAGGTTGATACTACGCTTTGCGGTGCTCTTCTACGCCATGCCATGCCGTGCTCTACAATGCATCGCGTACCCTTTCGGGATCATTGCCCTGCTCGACATCCGACTGAGCGAGTAGAGAGGGGATCTGCGCCATGGTAAGGGATGGGAGGGAGGGGTAGGATGTCAGATATGACGCGAGCGCACCTAGCTTGTCCCCATCCCCCTCCTCCCCATCCCCCTCCTCCTCCTCCGCCTCCTCCTCCTCCTCCTCCTCCTCTTCCTCCTCCTCCTCCTTCTCGTGGTTTGGGGCGGATCCGAACGGCGGGGAAACAGCGCGTTCGGCACGGCTCCTGTCGGACCGCTGCGCCCTCGCGCAGTATCAGCTAAGAGAAGAAGGAGGACTCCGAGGACGACTTGCGCAGCGGCGCAGGGCTTGCGCGACAGGAGGGGGGAAGGCGCGTTCTAGAATTTCACCCAGGCGCTCCTTCCCCTCATCCCTTCCTCCTCCCTTCCTCCCTCCTCCTCTCCTCCCCCTCCTCCTCCTCCTCCTCCTCCTCCTCCTCCTCCTCCTCCTCCTCCCTCCTCCTCCTCCTCCTCCCCATCCTCCTCCTCCTCCTCCTCCTCCTCCTCCTCCTCCTCCTCCTCCTCCTCCTCCTCCTCCTCCTCCCCTCCTCCTCCTCCTCCTCCTCCTCCTCCTCCTCCTCCTCCTCCTCCTCCTCCTCCTCCTCCTCCTCGTGGTTTGGGACGGATCCGAACGGTGGGGGAAATAGCGCGTTCGGCACGGCTCCCGTCGGACCGCTGCGCCCTCGCTCAATGTTAGCCAAGAGCAGAAGGAGGACTCCGAGGACGACTTGCGCAGCGGCACAGGGCAGGCGCGACAGGAGTCAGGGGGGCGTAAGACCCGGGTGCAGGGGACTCGGAAATCCCCGACGAGGTCGTCAAAAAAATGACGAGGCCGAGCCTGCATTTTGACGAGGCCTCCCGCTGCAGACATCCCACGAAACTCCTCCTCGTCAAAATCCGAGGCGCGGTCGTCAAAAAACGATGGCGAACCCGAGTCCTGGCAAACCCGGGTCTTACGCTCCCCCGAAGGAGGGGGGAAGGCGCGTTCTAGAATTTCACCCAGGCGCTCCTTCTACAACTCTACTCAGGCGGCTCCTTGCAGGACTTTTCTCAGGCGGCCCCTTCTAAAACTTGACTGAGCTGCTCCTCTGGGTTCCGACGTGTTGGCCCTCGCCGTTGCCGGCGTCGTCGTCGTCGTCACCGGCGCCTCCTTGAGGTTCAGACCCCGGTCATGCGTTGATTCAGTCACGCTTCCAGCCCAGGCAAATTCAGTCATGCTCCCAGTCCAGGTAGATCTTACCAACGATTCACTGGACTGTCTGTGGCCGTCTGGACCCTTCCCGCTGGAGGCACCGGATGTTACAGCAGTTTTGACTGCGAGGGCGGCGCGGGTCCCAGCAAGCAGCTCCAGGAAGGGGAACGCTTTCGTAGACATGGACCGCAATGGTATAGACTGTTGACCGTAAGCTTTAACCCGCAGCCCAGGTCGTACGAGCCCCGAATGCCTGGGCCGAGCAGCGGCACCACTGCGTCCTCAAACGTCTCCTCCAGTTCCTCTGCGTCTCGTTTCTGGTAATCCCATTCCCCCTCCTCCTCCTCCTCCTCCTCCTCCTCCTCCTCCTCCTCCTCCTCCTCCTCCTCCTCCTTCCTCTCCTCCCCTACTCTTCCACCGCCCACGCCTACGACGATGATGCGGAGAGGAGGCGTCCTTCCGCGTCGTCGACGCGCACCGCCAACCCGCATGGAGACGAGATCAGCGAGCACCGAGTCGGGAAATGGGATCGACTCGGCCCGTGCGTCGGATCGGGCTGCCTCGGCACGGGGCCGAAACCGAAGCGGGTCGGCTGCGCGAGGATGCACAGCAGCGCCATGCAAGCGTTAAGTCGGGCGTGTCCCCCATACAGGGGGATTTTCAACAAAAAATGTTAACAAAAAAATATTAAAAAATGCGCCACCATGGTCAAAACATACTTTAAACAAATAGTCCCCAGACTCTGTTTTGACTATTGTTTGGCTATTTTTGGTGTATTTTGTATTTTTCATCGAAAATCCCCCTGTAGGGGGACTGGCCCGACTCAATGCAAGCGTCAGGCCGCAACGGATCGTCGGAACATCGGGATCGAATCGGACTGGGGTGCGCAGAGCGCGCCAGAGGCACTGCCAGGGGGCCCAGGCGCGGATCAAAGAAATCCGCGCGGAGCGGCTAAAGTTTACGTGTATGCTGCGTTTGCTTCTTCGACCTACTGAGACAGGACAGCTGCCCCGCGTCTGGAGCGAGCCCAGGGCCACGAGGTCCGCGAATGCGGCTCGACTCGCTCCTCCTCCTCCTCCTCCTCCTCCTCCTCCTCCTCCTCCTCCTCTTCCTTCTCCTCCTTCTTCTCCTGCTCCTCCTTATCCTACTCCTCCCGATTCCTCCTCCTCCTCCCTCTCCTGCTTATGGTAGTCCGCGTCTGGAGCGAGCCCCGGGCCACGAGAAGGCCCAGACATTCGGCACGACTCTGGGGGGCGCCGCGAGGAGGCCCTCGCGACAGGAGGCAAGGAGGAAGAGGAGGAAGAGGAGGAGGAGGAGGAGGAGGAGGAGAAGGAGGAGGAGGAGGAGGCGGAGGAGGAGGAAAAGGAGGAGGGGGGGAAGGGGGAGGAGGGGGAGGAGGAGGGGGGAGAAGGGGGAGGGGGAGGGGGAGGGGAGGAGGAGGAGGAGGAGGAGGAGGAGGAGGAGGACGAGGAGGAGGAGGAGGACGAGGAGGAGGAGGAGGAGGAGGAAAAGAAGGAGGAGGCGAAGGAGGGCGGCCCCTTCCAGAGGGCCCGGAGGGAGCGCTTGGCGCGGCCCCACCGGGGGCCTCTCTCCTCGGGTCTGCGGCGAGGGGGAAGGGGAGGTGGCGCATGGTGGGCCGAGTTTCCACCACCACTGCCAGTCGGCAACGGAGGGAGGAGGAGAAGGATGAGCAGGAGGAGCAGGGGAGGAGGACCTCCCCATGCCCCCCTGGTCCCCCGTCCTACACATGGCAGCGGTGGTGGAAAATTTGCCCATCAGCGCAGCGGCTCACCGTGGCGGCTCCCGTGCGCCGGAGGCGCCGACGTACCCGGCCCCCCATCGAGGTGTGGAGAAAGCATGACGGGGAGGTCGTCACGGGTTTCGGTCCCTTGTGGGGCCCTCGCCCGCCCTTGGGAGAGTCACGAAACGAGTCAGGGCGAAGACTGGTCCCGGGGAAGGGGTCCAGACCGCTGGGGGTCCACGCCATGAAGAAGGAGTGACGTCGGAGGTCTGGGCATGGAGGAGAGCGCCCAGGGAGGGCGAGGGCGAAACCAGCTGCACGCGGCGTTTTTTGCACCCCCTCCGTTCCCTAGCACCCCTCCCCCTTCATCTTTCGTCGGGCCCGACTCTCGTGGGGAGGGAGCGGGTGGCCAGGGGCTCGGAGAAGGAGCAGGCAGGCGGGCGTATTGCAGAGCATGCTCCTCCTCTTTCTGCCTTTCGCAGGCCTCGGTCGACTGACGGCCTCTGGGGCAAATCGGCAGGCCACGTCCCTGCTTCGCTGCTGCAGCTGACGGCAGATTGCCTACTGCGCGAACGATGGTGTCCCCATACTCCTCTCCTCCTCCACCTCTGCCTCTTCGTCCTCAAACTCCTCTCCTCCTCCACCTCGTACTCAAACTTCTGCTTCAATTCCTCCGCGTCCTGTTCTTGTACCCCCAATCCCAGTCCTCCTCCTCACTATTATTATGATTATTATTATGAATGCTATTATTATGTTTCTTATGTTTCTTCTTCTTCGTCTTCTTCTTCCTCTCCTCCCCTCCTCTTCGTCTGCCCACGCCTACGACGATGATGCTGAGAGGAGGCGTCCTTCCGCGTCGTCGACGAGCACCGCCACCTGAGGTAGGCGCACCCGCAGGCCCAACTACGCCTACAGGCCAGCCCCGTTCAGGAGCACTCCAGGGGAGCGAGGGGGGGGGTCAAGAGCAGAGAGGAGGGAGCAGGAGACGGAGGGGGAATGAAAGAGGTGAAGACGGAGGAGAAAGAGGAAGGGCAGGAGGGGGAGGTATGAGTAGGACGAGCGTGATGGAGAGGGGTGAGGAAGATGATCATGAGGAGGAGGAGGAGGAGGAGGAGGAGGAGGAGGAGGGCGACCCCCAGGGGAAAATGAACTAACCCTTGAGCCCACCTGATAGTTAAATGTCCCGAAAGCAGGTCCCTTGGAAAGCCGTCGGATGGGGGAGAAGGAGAGAGAACTCTTGGAACATCTCCATGTCCGCCACCGCGCTTTGTGATGGGAGTCGTGGCGTTCGTCAAACTGTGTGACTATTACGGCTCGCTGCTTCCCCACAGAACAGATCCAAAGAGTCTCTCGCTCATGCACTGCATGTTGAGGTCTCATCGGCCGCTGGCTCCTCGCGGAACGAATTCCACTGCTGCCTCACATTACATTGGTACGACGGCCCGCACGTCCTCCCTCCTGGCCACGTGGGACGTCGCAGGTCGGCCCCAGGACTGGCCAAGACCTGCCGATGACCAAGACGGTCCCAGCCGCTGACCTAACCGCACACACCCCGACGGACAGGCCCGACGCCCTGGCACAGGACTTCGAGATCCGCCACCGTGCCTCTGAGCACGGAGTGGGCGTGTCCTCGGGTCCTTTGCCGAATCACTGGTGCCTCAGCGCCCCAATCCCGAGGAGTCTTGAAAGGGCCTGGACCCCGAACTCCAAAACCTATGAAGGCTTCCCGCGTGCCGCCTGGGTTCCGGCGCCTCTTGTCGCACTGCTTGTCGGCCACGAGGGCCCCGAGAGGCCCCGAAGACGGTCCAAGAGGGCCCCGGGTCGCCGAACGACCGCTCCAAGACGGTCAAGATGGCCCCCAGACTGCCCAAGAGGCCCTCAAGACACCCCACGAGGCCTCCAAAAGGCCTCCCTAGAGGGCCCGAAGATGTACAAATCATTGATCCCCCTGGCTTTTCTGGAGGATTTTGATATTCTCGCCTTTTCGGCTTTCCGACGCTCCACGAAAAACGCCCCACAACGGCAAAAGTGACCTCCAATAGGGCCCCAAGAGGGCCTAAGAGCGCCCGAAGACGGTCCAAGAGGCGCCCAAGACTGCCCAAGAGGGCTCCGAGGTGGCCCCAACAGGGGCCCAAGATAAGGAACACGAACCTAAACTCCGAGCCTTCCGCCCCAAGATGCCCTCAGGAGGCCCCCCAAAGCGCCCGGGAAACCCCAAGAGGCCAGCAAGAGGCCCCAAGAGGCACCTCAAAGGCTCGAAGATGCCCCAAGACAGCGCTGAAGAGGCCTTCGAGATTCGTTATTTGCCTGTCATATCACAACAAGTGCAACATCATGTCAACTCTGAACGGAAGGATTCTTAAAGCAACTACATGTCAACACAAGTGCAATATAATCGGCATTATCTTGGTCTTGGGATGCTCCTTTGGTCTCGGACTGAGTATGCCCAACTATTCGGGCACCCCTGGTCCAGTTCGCCCTCACCGTTTCGGCGTGTGGTTGGCCATCCTCTTCAAGACCTGCCACAACCAACCACACGGGGCAGGCCGACGCTGTCACGAACGACATCCCTGTTTCCTCTGGGACTCCTTCGTACACACCTAGGTTGCCAGAAAATGTCAAGCAAAGTTATTGGAACCTGCTGTTTTGGCCTTCGAAAAAGGGAAGGAACAACTGCCCCCTCTTTCGTGACACCGTCGGCACCTGGCGGACTGGCCGCAGGTGGCCCTTTTTTCCTTGAATGTCTGACCCCCCGCCCCCGTGACCAGAGCACTGACTGGAGCACAAGACGGCGGAGCCGACTTCACAGCAGGCATGCCAGAATTTCTCTGCAACACGCGCAGGCATGCCGGAATCTCTCTGACTGATGGGAAAAAGGCTGCGCCGCCGAAGACGAATTCCCGGAGAGCTTCGGCTGATAACCCGTTATTTGCCTGTCCTATCACAACAAGTGCAACATCATGTCAACTCTGAATGGAAGGATTGTTAAAGCAACTACATGTCAACACAAATGCAATATAATCGGCATTACCTATACGACCACACTGCGGGTGATAAGGAGGTTTGGGGGGGGGAGGGGCCCAGCAATGGGCAACAGTGGGGAATGCTGTTGTGACAGCGCCAATGGAGATAGTTGCGTTGCCGCTCGCTCTTGGGAGCGTTGGTGTCAAATTGTTTACGTCACCCTTTGCTCTTTGGCGCCGTGGTACCATTCGGCCCTCCCCCTGGGAACCTGCCCAATTTGCGCAACGGCAGCTAACGGCGCCATTTGGCCACGGAAAACTGAAGCGCTGGCAAAGCTTGGCGCAGCCCGCGCCCCAAAACCCTCGGAGGATGAGGAAGCTAAGATGGGGAGGGGGAAGGAAAAGGAGAGGTCCAGAACCGAGGGGTGCGTGGTGGAGGAGAACCTGAGAGAAGACCTCATTCGCTGTCTCATTCGGTCTCACTACCGATCTCACAATCGATATCACTATCCACGTCGTCACCATCATCGACATCACCACCAACATCATCATCATCATCATCATCATCCGCATCATCATCACCGTATTCATCATGATCATCAACATCACCATCATCATCATCATCATCAATGTCGTCATCCTAATCACAAACATCAACACCATGAAGGCCATCATCACCATCAACCTCGCACAATCGATCTCACATTCGGTCTCACTACCGATATCACAATCGATCTCGCAATCGACGTCACCATCATCATCATCATCAACAACATCAACATCATCAACATCATCGCCATCATCAACATCATCATCATTGTCACCATCATCATCATCACCATCATCATCATAATCATCATCATACTCATTATCAACATCATCATCGGGACACCGACGGGACACGGACGGGACACCGGCGGGACACCGCACCGCCCCGGCCGCCCGGAAAGGAATCATTTCGTCCGGCCGCGCCTCAGCCACACGGGACACCAGCGGGACACCGGCGGGACACCGCGGGGCCCCGGCCGCCCGGAAGGGAATCATTTGGTCCGGCCGCGCCTCAGCCACACGGGACACCAGCGGGACACCGGCGGGACACCGCGGGCCCCCCGCCGCCCGGAAGGGAGACATTTGGTCCGGCCGCGCCTCAGCCACAGGAGACTTTCTCTCGCCCGCCCACGCAGCTTCGTCTCGCCCGCACGGCACGCACGAACACGAAACCGAAATCGAATTCCCGGTAGGGGGGCTCTCCGTTCCACTTCGATCTCACCCCCCAACCTCCGATCTTGGTCTTGGGATGCTCCTTTGGTCTCGGACTGAGTATGCCCAACTATTCGGGCACCCCTGGTCCAGTTCGCCCTCATCGTTTCGGCGTGTGGTTGGCCATCCTCTTCAGGACCTGCCACGACCAACCACACGGGGCAGGCCGACGCTGTCACGAACGACATCCCTGTTTCCTCTGGGACTCCTTCGTACACACCAAAGTTGCCAGAAGACGTCAAGCAACGTTATTGGAACCTGCTGTTTTGGCCTTCGAAGAAGGGAGGGAACAAGTAGATTGCCTCCAAGAGGCCCCCGAAAGGCCCCCCACGAGATCCTCACGTTCAATAGGCTTCACACCCACAAGCCAGGCACAGTGGCGGGATGGTCCGAAAGCCGACCCCCCTGAGACATCTGGGGGAGACCCCCATTAGGTTCTTATGAGTCAGCGGCGCGCGTTCTCAGAAGGCCCAGAATGCATCCAACGCCGCCTTCTGAAAACCTGCCTAAGCCATCTCCGCAGCCACTGCGGGCGTCTCGGAAGGCCAGAGGCCTTCTGAGGAGCCCCGCCGCCTTCTGACAAGGTCGTCCCCCCCTAACTTCCCCCCTCGACGCGCTCCCGAATGGGGCCACACGCACTCAAACAGATCCTCGAGCTGCCTTTCTGGCCTCCTTCCCTCTGAGCTCCTCCTCCTCCCCAGGAGGCTGGCCAGTCGCGCCGCCTGAGCGCCCAGCAGCAGCCCGTCCCCCAGTTCGGCCAGCCTCGCGGGCGACCCCAAGCACGGATGCGCTTCAATATGCTCGCCTCCTCCCACGGGAAGGGGAAGGGGGGACGGGGGACGGACTGCAGGGACACTTCCAAGCCCACCCCCCCGCCCCCTTCAGACGCACCCCCAAGCGGCGAGTTCCCAGCGTCTGCCTTGATGCTGTTTCTCTCGCGTTTGCTTCAGCTTTGCGCCGTCCCTGCTACTGGTTCCTTCGCACCAGAATCTGAAGGACTTCCAAGGAGCTGAATTCCAGCATCCTAGAATTAACAAGCATTGGATATATACATATATGATGGTATATAACGGTTTAAAGACTCTTCGAAACTTGAGCATCGCACATGACTGTTCGTAGAAATTTGTTACGCCACTGTTTCTTGATCCCCTGGTTTTCGAGGTCCTGGGCCCACATGAACCCCAGGAGCACGGAATCAAACAAAATAGCCAAACTTATAACTTGTCTAATGCTAATTTGCTTGGTCCCTGGTTCTTGAAGTCCTGGGCCCAAAATAACCCCAGGAGCCAGGGACCCGGCCAAACAGCAAAAACAAACTCAGCTCTATATAATGCTAGTGTGCTCGGTCCCTGGTTTGTGAAGTCCTGGGCCCCAGTGAACCCCAGGAGCCAGGGACCCCGCGAAGTAGCAAACTGTGCTATAGCAAACTGTTCTGAGGCTCGTATTCTCTAGATGACAAATGCTGTGTTGCGTGATCCCTGGTGGAAGTCTTGGGCCCAAGTGGATCCACGAAGCCAGAAACCAGTCGAATAGCAACATGTCTTATCGAAATCTGAATTAAAACGTTGTTGTAGCTGTTGCTAGTTTGTTTGGCCCCTGACTGTTACGGTCCTGGGCCCAAATGAACCTCAGAAACCAAGGATACGGCAAAACAGAACATGTATCGCAGTCATAATAAGTTTGCTAATGTTTAGAGTATGCTGGATCCCTCTTCTTGAAGTCCTGAGCCCAAGTGAATCCCAGAAAACAGGGACAAGGCAACATGTCAAAACTTCTCAAGTGTCTACATGTGTTGAACAACTGTTTGCCAGTTTGGTCGGTCCCTGGCGTTTGAGGTCCTGGTCCCAGGTGGAGCCCAGGAACAAGGGATCAGGCACGACAGCACAAGTTGACAAACAGTTTGTCTAGTTTGCTTGGTCCCTGGCTTTTGAAGTCCTGGGCCCAAGTGAATCCCAGGCGCAAAGGCACGGGCAAAATAGCAACATTTGGTTTGACAGCTTTCGATTCCTATACTTTTGCTGCGTTGCTTGGCCTCTGGTTCTCAGGCCCTGGGGCCAAGTGACTCCCAAGAAACAGGGACCAGGCAACAGATCAAAATGTGTGACAACACACGAGCGTCATACTCACAAGCAACATGATACTTTGCTTGGTCCCCTTCTTTATGCAAAGACCAGCACCAAAGTACATCCCAATAGCCAGGGACAATAGGAACAAACATACACATCCGAACGAGGAATGTTTGCATGTATGTTTGTTTTTGTTTTGACATCTTGGACCCAAGTGGATCCCAGGAACAAGGACCCAGCAAACAAGCAAGCCTGTTTCAAATTTTTGGTGATATGGAAAACTGTGCCGTTTGATTGGTCCCTGGCTGTTGACGTCCTGGGCCCAAGTGAATCCGAGGAGCCAGGGACCAGGCAAAATAGACATTTTCGCTGAACAAGTTGAACATTTGGCGATGTTGCTTGGCTCCTGATGTTTGACGTCCTGAGCCCAAGTAGATCCCAGGGACTAGGGATCAGTCCGAATGGCAACATTTGCTTTGACATGTGTCCTCTCCTTTTTTCGCTACGTTGCTTGGTTCCTGGCTTCTCCCCTCCTGAGCCCAAGTAACCAAGAATCCGGCAAAATCGCACAAATGTATTGACATGTATAAAAACCGGTTTCATGTTTTATGTATTATTTGATCCCTGGGTTTGGACGTCTTGGGCCCAAGTGGATCCCACAAACTAAAGATCTGATATAATAGTTCTTTGGAAAACGGAGTATTCCTAATGTGCTTTATCCCTGCTTTTTTGAAGTTCAGGGCCCAAGTGAATCCCAGGAACCAGGGGCCACGCAAACCAGACACAATTCTGAAACAATTTTGAAGCTTCAAAAGGTTTGCCGTTTTGCTTGATCCCTGGTGTTTGAGATCCTGGGCCCAATTCAATCCCGGGCACCAGGGATCAGGCACGATAGCAACATTTGCGCAAACGTTTCTAAAAACTTCTAAAGCTTAATCATTGCGCTTTTTTCCATGCGCACACCCAGGCTCGACCACCAATCGGGCCGCGCGACAGGTGGGGACAGCAAAGGGGAGGGTTGAGAATCAGCTCACGTAGCTGATTTTTCCTACGTCTCCCGGCGCCGGAGGCGGCTGTATATCGAGGAATGGGCCCCTCGGTGGGGCCGAAACCAGCTGCATGCAGCAGATTTCGTAACCCCCCCTTTCCCAATCCCCCCCTTTCGTCCGGCCCCTCCTGACGCTGCGGGCGCAAGGGCGGTCTGTTCCGCCGAAGCCCGCGCCGCGCGCCCGCGCTGCGCGACCCAAACTACTCCCGATGGCCTCCGAGAGCATCCAGGACCTCGGAGAGCGGGCCCAGGGACCCAGGAGACCCCCGCCAGAAAGGACAGAGGGAGGAGCCTCAAGGGTCCTCCCCCCTCCTGCGCCTCCCCCCTTTCGCCCGGCCCGAACCAAGGCGCCAAAGCTCCACGCTGTGACTGCCCCCGCTGGCGCCTGCACCGGCCGTATGGCCCCGCCTGCGCACGGCCCGGCCGCAACCCTGCTAGCCCGCCCCCGACGCTTCTCGCGGTGGCCCACGCCCGAGAACACGAGAACCGCAGGGCCGCCACCCGGGCCCGCGAGCGCGCCCGCTGGCCGGCGCCGCTGCCTCCCGCGCCCGCCAGCTCTTCGACCACCGCCGCGAGGCCCGCGACGTCGCCCGCGGCCTCGCCGCCCGCCGCCGAGCCCGCTGCCGCCGCCAGCTTAAAGGCCCGCCAGGGCCAGGGCCGGGCGCGCCAGCGAGCCGCCATGGGCCAGCGACGCCCGCGCGGCCCCGGCAGCGTGCCCGGGCGATTCTGGGTCGCCGCGCCCTGCCCAGAATCCTGCGCCCGCGCCGGCCCAAGCTGCCCGCCCGGCGGCCCTGGCGGACGCGGTGGCGTGCCAGAACGATTCTGGGTCGCCGCGCTCTGGGCCCAGAACGGCCTCAGGGCCGGCCAGCGCCGCGCCAGGCAGCGCCTCCGCCAACGCCACTGCACCAGCTCCGCGGTGCCCCCAATACAATGACATGAAGGGTCCACGTCGGAAGCGGCGTCGGAAGCGGCGTCGTCGGCGTCACCGGGCGGCCCGGCCCCCCAGCAGGAGGGCGCCGACGTCCTCCCGGGCGAGCCGCGGGCCGCATGCAGTGACCATGCGCGCCGTTCGGCGACAGATCGCAGCGCCGATGGTGGCGCGGGCCTGCGTGGCGAGCGCTTGCGAGGGCGCGCCAAGACGCCTCCGTGTCGCGGCCGCCTAGGGATCAGGCAAAAGAGCAAATTAATGTTCACAATCATGTTGCAAGGTTTTGCGTTTTCGGCGGATCCCAGATTCTGCATTCCAGCGCGCTGGAAGCCGCGGGATAGCCGCAAAATGGTCGTTTGATGACTCAGGCGCCAGCCCCAAAGGACGCATGAAATCAATAGCTCGCCACCTCAACAAGGACATCGAACGAGGCAGCCCAGCAAAACCGCGTCGCATGTATCACTAAAGTCCGCAAGGCATTGCAGATGTTTCAATTCGGCGACTCGGCTGGGTGGTAGAATCGAAGGGTGCCGTGGTCATGGGGGGGCGGGTGTAACAGAGAGATGTGATGGTGTCGTCCAGCCACGCTGCCGCATGGACGTCGCCGTGTAAAGCGCCAGTTTGTTCAATCACGCTGCCACGCCGAGCCTGGTTTGTGCAGAATCTATTATGAGATTGAACCATGAGACTTCGTGCGTGAGGAAAGCATAAACTGTCCAAGTTGTTGTCATGTATTCTCGGGCGCCCACTCGTAAAGGGACGACATATTCAACATGCCACCGCTCTTACCTGGCAGCGTGATTGAACAAAACGGCGCCTGCATGTCTCGATGTTTCAATCGGTTGTTCGCGTTCATGGTTATTAATGTGGCGCGTTGCCCACGGCGCATCTTAGGTTTTCCGACGGTTGTCCCGCAATTCCCGATTGTGCTATTGCGGTGCCCTCGTGGTTTCACGTTTGCTTCTGATCGTTGTCCAATGGTCCCCGATGGTTTCCCGACGATGTCCGTGGTTTTCTGTTGGTTCCCCAATGTTTTCTTGAGGTGCCCCAGGGTATCCTTGTGTTGCTTCCAGTGGGTTCGTGGTGCTACCGCATATGCGTGTGTGTATACATATATACATATGCTTGAGCATATGGTCACAAGTATATTGTATACCTGTCAACATGTTCGCATGCACGTCACATGGAGATGCGTCTGTATACAAGTGGCACGTGTGTGCCCAGGCTCATACAACAAGCTGAAGGGACGTTTGAAGCAGGAGTGACATGCAACAGCGAAGTCGCACTCGAGCGCAAGTGGGGTTGCCACACCTTGCGATGTGTGTACCAGGGCCCCCCAGGAAGCCTCAGGAGGCCCGACTTGGATACCAGAAGAGGCTCCAGGAGGCCCCAGGATTGTGAGTGTTGTGTGTGTGTGTGTGATGTGTGCTTTGTGTGGTGCGTGCTTTTTGCGTGTTGTCGGTGTTGTGTGTGTGTGTGTGTGTGTGTGTGTGTGTGTGTATGTTATGTTTGTCTAGCGTGTGATGTGTTGGGCGTGATTTGTGTCTCTGTGTGTGCATGTAGTTCTGAAGCCCCAGGGGGCCCCAGGAGGCCCCAGGAGGCCCCAGGCGGCCTCAGCAGGCCCAGGAGAACTCCAGGAGGCTCCGAGGCGGGGTCTGGGGTACCAGAAGGTCCAGAAAGCCCCAGGAGGCCCCAGGAGGTTCCAGGAGGCCCCCAGGAGGCTCCGAGGAGGGGTCTGGGGCTCGATTTTGGGAGGATGTCTCAGGCGAAACCGCTATTCTCTGAGAATCGGAATCAAAATCATTGAAATTACCATGTGTTTTTGAAGGTTTTATGATAAACTGTTGGAAATCCTATGTGTTTTTTGACCCTGACGTCACGATCTGCGTGAGGGGTGCCACCGATTTTCAGAATTTCGAGGATGTCCCGAGCGAAACGGCCAGAAAAATCGCGAACGACGGACGCATTAATCGCCTCTGAGCTCTACTCCCTCGGAGAGGTGCGTATGAGAATACATATATATATATATATATAGATACATATCTATATATAGTCTCATACGCACCTCTCCGAGGGAGTAGAGCTCAGAGCCGATTAATGGAGGGCGGCGTCCGCGATTTTTCTGGCCGTTTCGCTGGGGACATCCTCGACATCCTGAAAATCGGTGGCACCCCTCACGCAGATCGTGACGTCAGGGTCAAAAAACACATGGGAATTTCAACATTCTAACATAAAACCTTCAAAAACACATTGTACTTTCAATGATTTTGACCCCGATTCTAAGAGAATGGCGATTTCGCCTGAGACATCCTCCCCAAATCGAGCCCAGACGTACCTTCTGGTACACCAGACCCCGCCTCGGAGCCTCTTGGGAGCCTCCTGGAACCTCCCGGGGCCTCCTGGGGTTTTCTGTCCCCTCTGGTACCCCAGACCCCGCCTCGGAGCCTCCTGGGGGTTTCCTGGAACCTCCTGGGGCCTCCTGCGGCCTCCTGGAACCTCTTGGGGCCTCCTGGAGCCTCCTGGGTCTTCTGGGGCCTCCTGAGGCTGCCTTGGGCCTCCTGGGGCCTCCTGGGGCCTCAGAACTACATGCGCACACAGAGACACAAATCACACCCAACACATCGCACGCTAGACAAAGATAACACACACACACGCAACACCTACAACGCACAAAAAACACGCACAACACAGAGCACACATCACACACACACACACAACACTCACAATCCCGGGGCCTCCTGGAGCCTCTTCCGGTATCCAAGTCGGGCCTCCTGAGGTTTTCTGGGGGGCCCTTGCACACACATCGCAAGGTGTGGCAACCCCACTTGCGCTCGAGTGCGACCTCGATCTTAGATTCTTCTGCGTTCACCTCCTGCCTCTTCCCCTTCTCTTAGGCACGCCCTGGCGGCGCCGCCCCAGCTTCCCCTTCTCCATCTCCGATCCTGCAGTCATGGTGTATTCCTGCTTCAAACGCCATTCAATTTGTTGTATAAACCTGGGCACACACGTGCCACGTGTATATACACTTGTGTATGTGTCAACCAAATTACATGCTATGTATAACATGAGCTATATATAAATATGTATAGATGGTTTACTAATAAACGTACAGAAATCGACTTGTACACAGTACACATGGGTTAGCATAGACGTCCCGGCAGTACTGCTCATACGTGAGAATCCCCTAAGCAATGCTTGCATTCAGGTGCTCTTACTTGCCCCACGCAGGAATGGGATGGGCGTGTCGAACATTCGACACGCTGTCGTCCACGCCGCCTCGTTGCCGCCTCGCTGCCGCGTCCTTGCGGCCTCGCGAGCTGGGCGAGCGGGCCGAAGTAGAGGAGGAGGAAGAGGAGGAGGAGGAGGAGGAGGAGGAGAAGGATGGGAAGGAGAACGAAGAGGAAAATGGGGGATACTCTGGAGCTGCAAAGGGCTCCTGCGGTGCCATTATTTTGTGCTTCCTGGGGCATTCCTAGGGTGCTTCTGGGGCATTCCTAGGGTGTGTGTGTGGGGGGTCCTGCCTGGGCTGTTAGGGGGGGGAGGGGGGCTGGGGGCCTCGGGGAGGCCCGTCGGAGCGGAGGGCGAGGGTGGGGGGCGGCTGGAACGTGACCCTGGTCGTCGCGACGGGGGGTGGGTGGGTGGATCAGTTCGACCACCTGATGTCGGTTTCATCCTCCTCCTCCACCTCCAATTCGTCCTCCTCCTCATCCTCCTCCTCCTCATCATCATCAGCATCATCAACATCATCCTATCCCTCCGCCTCATATTCCTCTTCCTCCCCCTCGCGTTTTCTTCCACCGGCTTCCCGAACTGATCTCTGCGCGGCTGTGAAGGCACCTACAACGCGGCTGATGAAGGCCTAAACCTCACGCGTGATGTGAGCTCTGCGGACAGCTCCCTGAGTAGCGGAACAGGTAGAACGAACATTCGCGAGGCACGAGTTGCTGATCGGATGGTGACATGATTGAAGGGGCCCTGTGGCACAAATAGCGATCCCCAATATTTTCCAGTAACTTCTGGGTTTTCGTCTTCCCCCACCCACACACACACTTCCCATATTTTCCCATATTATCCGAGGGATCGACTATTCATTGTGTCTGTGTGTTTTTTAACCTTCCTGAGTTATGCGAAGAGAAGAGGGGGTGGCCAGGCGACACCCGGCAGGACAGACAGGACGAGATGGGGCGCACGGCGGGCAAGAGGGAGGACGGGCGAGAAGGAGACGCGGGCCCGAGGAAGGGGAGACGGAGAGCTGGACGGGGGGACGGAGGCGAGGGAGGACGGCGGGACTGAGAGAAGCGGGGACAACGGAACGTCGTCCTCGCCGTCGCCAAGGGGGCTTTCGCGCCCGTCCAAAGAAATGCGCGCAGAACTCCGGCAAGGTATGTTTACTGGTGTGTTCAACCCCGATCCTCGCCACCCTCCTCTGGCCCGTCAAGGGCCTCCTCGCGAGCCGTTCGCTTCGCCGCTGCCGGTCCACGGGGCACCGTGGCGGCACCGACGCCGCACCCCCCTCTGCCAGGGCGCGGCGCTCAGACCGACAGAAATCCTCGCCGCCCCCGCCAGAGACAAGAGGATCGTCGTCGACCTCGCCGCCCCCGCTGACGCACAGGGCCAAACCAAGCGGTACCCACAAGTGAACCCCTAGACATCTCCCAGGGTGCGCTCTGGCTAGAATTTCGAAGCGAATCCAGCCTCGGCGACGAGGGCCTCCAAGGAGGTCTAGATGGCCCAGAAAAGGGAAGCACGAGGGAAGGGCAGCGGTATACCATTTCCTATTTCTCATCTGACCCTCGTCGCCCCCGCCGAGCTTCCCAAATGGAGTCTGAAGTAGATGGGGCTGGCGAATCGCGCCGCATCACCGACACATCGGCGATGCATCGTCGACGTCAGCAACGTATGAAGACACTCGGGCCCTACATCGAGCCACACCGCCGATGCATCGGCGATGCGGCGCGATCCTCCGACCCCATCTACAGTCAAGCTGTTGCAATAGGAAAAGCTGCGTAAGGAATGAAACCCGTCTTTTGGAACCAAGAACGCCTGGGTGCACGAGGAGGGCAAGATGAACACATAGGAGCAACTACAGAGTGACCCAACAGCGAGCTCCTTCCGAACCCAAAACGGTCATTCTACTTCAGTAGCAAGGGATATGTCGGCCCCTAACCCAGGCTTTGGGAGGTTTTCGACTGGACCAAAAATTTGGGGGCCCAACCCTGGGATATACAATGGGGGGGGCGTCCATCCTCCATATGGGGTGCGTCCGAATAAACCCTTTGGGGTGTATCTCAAGGTTTCCCTGGCTCAGCGGTTTCATTTTTCGTCGCGGGGCTGGGGGAGAAAAACCGCCTGCGATTCAGCATCCTGACCGCACTCGGGCCCCATCTGGGAGGCCTCTAGGCGGCGCGCCCGGGGGGGGAAGTGAGGAGGGGCGGGCCTTCTCAGAAGGCTCGGAACCAACCCCAGCCTTCTGAGAAGTCTTCTAAGCCTTCCGCGAAGGCGCAGGCACCCTCTCAAAAGGCGCGAGGGCTTCTGAGAAGCCCCACCACCTTCTGAGGATGCTTCTCCTTCTCACTTCTCCCCCTCGCTCGCCGCCGAGCCTAGAGCAGCGGAGGCCCAGATGTGGTTGACCCGAAAGGGGCCCCAGCGAAACGAGGGTGGTGCAATAGATCTGGTGCAATCGTTTTGTGAGGGTGAAGAAGAGTTGGGGCGTGCAATACATTCCGGTGCGCAGATGTATTGCTGGATCTTCGCGTGCGGTACGTTCGCTGCAATACAGTGCAATACAATTCTCCGGCGCAGTACACTTGCACTCAGAGAAAGAAACAAAAACATGAACAGAAACTATCCAAGAAATCCACGCGGAGCGCCAAAGGTTGAATTACGTGTATGCTGTTTTTTCGTCTTCGATCTACCGAGGCGGGACAGCTGCCCCGCGTCTGGAGCGAGCCCCAGGCCACGAGAAGGCCCGCGAATGCGGCTCGACTCGCTCCTCTTCCTCGTCCTTCTCCTCCTTCTTCTCCTCCTCCTCATCCTTCTCCTCCTCCTCGTTTGTAGCGTTGAAGCGTTGTTTCTTCCTTGACCAATGCACTTGCCCCAAATCTATCGCAACACCCCCTTTCAGCTGGGACCCCCCGCCCCAGACCCCCGGCGTCATGCATTTTCCACGACGTGGACCCCCAAGCGGCCTGGACCCACTCCCCGGGGCAGGTTTTTCATCCTGGGTGGTTTTTTGACGGTTTCGAGGGCCGGTGAGAGCCCTCACAGGCCGAAAATAGCGAAGAACATCCCGCCGTGATTTTGTTCCCCACCCGAGGGGGTCTGGGAATCTACTGCACCACCCCCGCTGCAGCTAGACCCCCCCTTGTGGTCCAACCTTGCTTCATCAGAGCGGGGCCTGGCGACGACCTGCCGCTCCAGCTCGGGGCGCCCCGCGGGGTCCGCGCCCGGCAGGCCAGTGGGGACCCTGCGCGGCTCCCTGTGCACCTCTGCGGGGGAGCGGCCGGAGCGCCCGGCCGCCGCATTTTTTCAAACGCAAACAGACACAGACACACGCACACACGCACACACACACACATACACAAGCGCACACACACAGACACGCACACGCACACGCACACACACAGGCACACACACACACACACACACACGCACACAGGCACACACATATTCACACACGCAGGCACGCACACGCTCACGCACACACACACACACACACACACACACACACGCACACGCACACGCACACGCACACACACACACACACACGCACACACACACACACACACGCACACACACACACACACACACACTTTTCGTAGGCGGCAAGGCGGAGGCGGTCCGCACCAGCGTGTGGCGATTCGGGGAAACTGACTGGCAAATTGGCTTGTATGCAGGATGGTGAAAGCGAGACAGACAGAGCGACCGCAGAGGACGGGAGGAGGCGGAGGGCCCAACACACTCACACACAGACACGCACAGACACGCACAGACACGCACAGACACGCACTGACACACAGACACACTGACACACACACACACGCACAGACACGCACAGACACGCGCAGACACGCACAGACACGCACAGACACGCACAGACACGCACACACACACACACACACACACACACACACACACACACACGCACAAACAAAACAAAACAAAAAAAAAAACAGCACAGGCGGGGGCCCCGGCGGCACGGCACGACGACGAGCGACGGACGGCGGACGAGGCGGAGGGGAGGGCGGGGGGGGAGGGCCGGTGGGGAGGGCAGGCGGGGAGCGCCCCCGCGCCCGGCGCGGCCGGCCCCACTCACGCGCCGGAGAGAGCCGGGCCGCAGGCTCTGAGCAGGGGCCGGCCGTCCCCGCCTTCGCAAAGGGCCTATTATAGATCTTATGTTGGCTTACTGAAGTCCTCCTCCTCCTCCTCCTCCCCTTCCTCCCCCTTCTCCTCCTCCTCCTCCCCCTCCTCCTCCTCCTCCTCCTCCTCCTCCTCCTCCTCCTCGTGGCCGCCCTGGGAAGCACGGCGGCCGCGCGCGCGCGTCCGTCCGAGGCGTGCGCTCTCCAGGGTCTGGGGGGGTGGGCGGGCTCTGCTAAATATGACAAACAAGTTAAGTAGCTAGAAGCAGTATGCTGCTGGCTTACCACTGGGTCGTGTGCACGCTGCTGCCGCCTAGAGCAGCTCCTTATACAGCTCTTGAGCTCTAGCAGAGCCGACATTCATCTCAGCACGCTGTGAGAGCTGTTCCCGGGCCTCCCTCGGGTCGTGGACAAATCGTGACTGCATTTCTGTTCGCTATTCTTCGGAATGAGCATCTAGCCAGACCGCTGTCGACGACAAGAATGGAAAGCACCACTAAGAGAGAAAGCAACATCCCACGGTGACACAAGCTCTGCGCCAGCAACACCTGGTCACTCCTTCTTGACCGCCGTACGCAACGGGGAGAGCCACTCGGGACACAACGCAAAAGCAGAAAACAGGCAAACCGCTAGAGACATCCGCACAGAACGGCGACGAACGGAACTGTGAAAGCACTCTTGGAGGCTCCCCTTAGGTAGCTGAAACCAGCGCCCCGCCTGAGACATCCTCACAATCTGCTCTCTAAGCGAAGAATGTTGAGACAGAAAACAGGCAAACCGCTTGAGACATCCCCACAAAACGGCCGCGAACGGGACCGTGTCATACCCATCGGCGGCTCCCCTTAGGGGTGCTGAAACCAGCGCCCCGCCCGAGACATCCTCACAATCTGCTCTCCAAGCGGAGGATATTGGGACAGAATACAGGCAAACCGCTTGAGACATCCCCACAGAACGGCCGCGAACGGGACCGTGTCATACCCATCGGCGGCTCCCCTTAGGGGTGCTGAAATCGGCGCCCCGCCTGAGACATCCTCACAATCTGCTGTGGGTCGAGTAAGTCAGACGATGGGAAGGCCTGAGTATGAGTAAGTCTGGGTATGAGTGAGTCTCAGCATGGGTAAGTCTGAGTATGAGTAGGTCTGAATATGAATAGGTCTGGGTATGAGTAACTTAATATGATCTGGTCTGAGTCTGAGTAAGTCTGTGTATGAGTAAGTCTGTGTATGCGTAAGTCTAGGTATGAGGAGGAGGATGAGGAGGAGGAGGAGGGGAAGAGGAAGGAGGAGTATTGAGGCGTCCAAGTAATACCAAGAACCCCATCTTAGGATCTGGGGAACAATGCAGCAAAATAGCAAAACAATGCTCAAAAAATCGTCCCGTGACTATTTTTGACTATTTTCGAACGTTCCTCCTGTAGAAGGGTATGCCCGACTTAATCCTGGAACACAGAGGGGAGGCGACGCCCGAAAACCCTGCGCCCAGCGACCATCGATGCTCCCGAGTCCGACGGGAGGCGGGGGAGGTGGGGGGTTCAGATGTCGACACGTGCTCAACGGACTCCGAGCCCTACCCGTCGTTCATTTCTAATCGCGCTCATTTCTAATCGTGCTCGCTTCTAATTGTTCCTGGCCCCCCAGTGGCCAGGAAGAGACCCAGGACAGAACAATTAGAAACGAAAGGATCTTGGCCCCCAAAAAATCTAAGAACTCTCGAATATTCCGACATGAACAACGTCTACCCCTGCCGCCCATCGACTTGCGTGAATCGTGGATCGGCGAGGGTAGGGTTCTGACTTCGCCGCCGAGCGGAGGAACGTCCCACGGACAACAGCGATGCACTTCTAGCACAAGACCAGCGGAGACTCAGACCAGACTGTCTCGACAAGAAAGGCTCTGGAAATGTGTCCTGCAAATCACAAGAGGTTTGCAGAACACTATTTGATGGGTCTATCGGGCCTTCGCCACTGCTTGACGCACGCTTGTTTCACAGCATGCGTTTTCAGTCCGGTTCCGGGCGCAGGGACCCTCACAGATCGATCCGCAGTTCACGAGCGGCAAACATATCTTCGTATCCGCGCCCTCGCGGTCTGGATTTGGGGCGCGATCCCGCGGATACGCGGTCGTACGGATACGTTTCGCGCGGGGCATCCACAAAAAAAACGCCCCGTATCCGCGGGTTCACAGCCCAAGGGCCCAGCCTGCGAGGTCGCGGACTCGGATATGTTTTTCGCCAGCGATCAGACAACCTTGCGTCATGACAACCATCACGACGGGAAGTTTTTGACAGATTTCGGCCCCTGGGGGCCCTCGAACAGCTGGTTGGGGAAAGGGTTGAGACTTCCGGGGACTCCGTACCGAAAAAAGTCTGGACATCGTATGTCTGGGTCTAGGATCCCTGTCGTGATTTTTAGCGATACTGCAACTGGTACGCAACGTAGGATCTCAGGAAAAGGGGGAGCACGGCCGCTGCACAGGCTCAATAGCTCGCCAATGGGCGGGAAGAGGGGACGCCGAGGGTCCTCCTCTTCTAACCCTCCTCTGAGGGGGAGCGAGAAAGGGTGGACTGGCTCAGGGTGGTGGGGGAGACATCGACCTGGAATCGGCGATGCATCGCAAATACATCGGCGCTGGGCTCTCGATCACGAACCCGCACGCTCCTCGAGGGGGCGGGATATCACGCACCTTTCGGCGATGAATAGAAGTTCGGGGGCCCATGCGCTCTACCCTGAGCCTGCGCCCCCTATAGCTGCCCCTACTTCCCAAAAGAGTGTTTGCACTACAAACTACCCCTACTTCCCTATAGCTGCCCCTACTTCCCCCCTGCTGCCCCTACTTGCAACAGAGTTCGATGGGTACGCCGAAGATTCGAAATGCTGCTGCGTCTTTGCCGCCTGGTTCGCTGCGTGGGTATGCTGAGTATTCGCCACGCTGTCGCCCGTTGCCGCTTGCGTGGGGACGCCGAGGATTCACCACGTTGCCGCCCGCTGCCGCCTGTGGGAGTATGTAGGGGATTCGCCCCGTTGCCGCGTCGTTGCCGCCCGTTGCCGCCTCGCTGCCGCGTCGATGCCGCCTCGTGTGCTACGTGGGAATGCCGAGGGTTCGCCACGTTACCGCACGTCGCCGCGATTCGCCACAGTACCGCCCGCTGCCGCCCGCAACGTTGCCGCCCGTTGTCGCCTGTATGGGGTATGTCGAGGATTCGCCACGCTGCCGACCGTTGCCGCCTCGCGTCGGCGTCCTTACCGCCCAAGGCGCTGTGCGGACCTGCCCGGGATTCGCAGCGTTGCCTGCCCAGGATTCGCAGCGCTGCCGCCCCTTCCGATACCGCCCGCGGCCGCCTCCTTGGCCGCCCCGCTGCCGCCTCCTTTGCCGCCTCGTGCGCTGCGTGGGTGTGCCGAGGACTCGCCACGCTGCCGCCCCGGGCGCTCCGGGTGTGCCGAGAGCTCGCCACGCTGCCGCCCGCTGCCGCCACGCTGCGGCTTTGTTGAAGGGGCCCCAGGACACACAAATAAATACACACAAATAAAAAGATTGCCCATATTTTCATATATTTTCTGGGTTTCTGTCTTCCCCCCCACTTCCCATATTTTCGCATATTTTCTGGGAATCGTTGATTAATTGTGTCTGTGTGTTTCTTTCCCTCCTGATTTGTGTGGGTGTGCCGAGGAGGCCCGAGACAAACGGCCGAATGGCGATGCCGAGGAGCTCAGGGCGCAGGCGGCCCCCTGTCTCGAAACGGACCACGACCGCGGCGACGCCGACAGCGAACCCCGTGCAGATCGAGCAGGGACTGCCGTTCGATGCTGTGCCGACTGTTTCCGTACTGAGCATCGTTCAACCCCTGTCCTCATGGGCAAGGCCTGTGCCCTGGCGGCCGATCTATTTTTCTGGAAAGGGACATGGGCCGTTCCCTATGGGCTTCGGCGTGTGTATATATATATATATGTATAAATACCTATACGACCACCCTTCGGGGGGCAAGGATGTTGTATGGGGGGAGAGGGGGGGGAACCAACATCTGACTCAATCGATCTCACGAATTATCGATCTCACTCAACGGGACACCACGGAACACCACGGGACACCACGGGACACTTGTCGATCTCACTGTCGATCTCACTATCGATCTCACTCAACAAGACACCACGGGACACCACGGGACACCACGGGACACCACATCGATCTCACGATCGATCTCACTATCCATCTCACTCAACAAGACACCACGGGACACCACGGGACACCACATCGATCTCACGATCGATCTCACTATCGATCTCACTCAACAAGACACCACGGGACACCACGGGACACCACATCGATCTCAAGATCGATCTCACTATCGATCTCACTCAACGGCACACCACGGGACACCAGCGGGACACCGGCGGGACACCGCGCGGCACCGGCCGCCGGAGGAGCAACATTTGGTCCGGCCGCGGCCCAGCCACAGGAGGATTTCGGGACACCAGCGGGACACCGGCGGGACACCGCGCGGCACCGGCCGCCGCAGGAGCAACATTTGGTCCGGCCGCGGCCCAGCCACAGGAGGATTTCCTCTCGCCCGCCCACGCAACCTCGCCTCGCCCGCACGCACGCACGGCACTCACGACACGAACCCGAACACTAAATCGACTTCCTGGTAGGGGGGGTCTCCGTTTCACGTCGGACTCACCAGCCAACCTCCGATATATCTCTCTATATATATATATATATATACACCCAACCGGGGTGGTAGATGTGGGGATGTGGGAATAGTGGGGCTCGGGATGGGGATAGTGGAGCTCGGGATGGGGATGGAGACGTGGGGCTCGGGATGGGGATGGAGATGTGGGTGGGGGTCGGCTAAACGATCCTGACAATACTGAGGTCGATCGCCCCGAGGGGCGAGTCACGAGTGCCCCAGGGCCTGCTCCCTCCCTCCCTCCCCGCTCGCCCCCGGGGCCCGCTCCTGCCCTCCCCGCGCCCGCTCCTCGCCCCTCGCCCCTCGCCTCCGCTCCCCGCTGCCCCGAGGGCCCCGGCGATGCTGCTCCTCTTGCGGCTCCTGCTCCCGCTCCCGCCTCCTGCTCCCCCCCCTCCCCCCAGGCTCCCGCGCTCCTCCTCTCCTCGCATCTCCTCTTCTCTCTGCCTCTCTCTCTCTCTCTGGCTCTGTCTATCTCTCGTCCGTCTACCCTCTATCCTCTACCCGCTATCCGGGTGCTAAACAAGAGGCGCAGGCGCCGGGGGGGGCGGGGTGCGGGAGGAGGCGCACAGTCGGGTTGCTAACATCAGGACCGCTAAAGTACGAACGACACCACTTTTTAGCCCCCAGAGCGCCTGCGTGCACGAGGAGGGCTGGAGGAACAGCCACGGAAAGACCCAGGCATATCGAGCCCTCTCCGAACCCTTAGTGTTCCTTATTTCAGCGTCTTTACTGTGCGGCAACTCCGTGTCGTGACAACATCGGCCTTGGTTCCGATGGTTCCACGCCGACCGATCGACGGCTCTCCGATCGGGCAGACCGCTCGATATCCGCCGATCCTGGGCCACTTGCTGCCGTTCGACCCTGAGCGCCAGCGGCGGGGTCGCCGCCGCGTCGGCGCGGCGCGAAGCTGCCGCACGCAGCAGCCAGCGAGCACTGTACTGGGAAAGCGGGGCGGGGCGGCGCCTGGCAGCGGCGAAGTGCACCCGCTGGGGCCGGGGAGGACCCCTGGCAAAAGGTGCGGCGCGACGGCCGGGTGGTAGGCCATCACGAGCGGGAGGGACCACTGGAAATCAGCGACGTTGCCCTCTTAGGGGCCCTCTTCGGAGGCCTCTCAGAGGTCTCTTGGGGGCGTCTCGGGGGCCTCGGGCCGTCTTGAGGTCACCTCAGGCGCGTTGGGCCGATGCTGGGGGCCTCTCGGGCCCTGTCGCGCCTCCCCGCGTGACTCGTGGGGCCCTCCTGGTCCGTCTCGGAGCCCTTCCTCACTCCACCTGGCCCCCGCCTCCCCTTTCCTCCCCCCGAGTCTCCAGGCCGCGGGCGCGACGCTCGCCTTGGGCAGGGCGTACCTCAGCAGGATCTTTGCGACGGGCACGGTGACGTCCAGCATGCCGCAGACCTGCGGCCACGAACGCCCACGGGCGGCCGCATGGCCCGCTCTGGCTGCGAGACCCTGCCAATCCCTCTGCGGGCGAGCGTCCAGGCATGGCGGAGGCCAGGTGGGGGCGAGGCAGTGGCCTCTGCAGCAGGCTTGGCCGTCTCGCGGGCGGAGCGTGCATTTAGGGGCACAGGGCGTGCCGTGCATTCGCTGTGTTGGACAAACGCTCACAGCAGAAGATCCGGTTCAGACGGCAACGGGCTTAATTGAGCACATGGGACACTCTTGGGCAACCAGCTCAGCCAAACCCTGCGCCAACCTTCGACACCTTGGGCAAACTCGGGGATACGAAGTTGAGACGGTGAGCCAACTGCCCCACCAGCTGCTTTGGAAACACTGGGCAATGACAAGGATGGAAGGCTCCTTGCTCATCGTCAAATACTTCGTGAAAGTATGGATGTAGTACGTGCGAGAAGCACGAATGATATCGCTAGGATTGGGCCAAGCGTGGCGGAGCCCCCTGACTGCTAAGACAACCCCACGTGAGACGAGCGGAGCGCTGAAGCATTCGCTGACACACCAGGACTCTACCATGCCGAGCGCCAACCAGGGAAGACAAGGTTCAGGTTAAGCGGTTACAATGGAGGCTAGTCCACAAGAGATCTTCCACAAGAAACCCAACCCGGAGAGTCCCAGGACGTCTACAGATTTTTGGTGTGGGAACGTCACGCTTAGGGAGGAGGGACCCACTGGCCTCCGGCGAGGGACCGACCGTCCTGGCATTCCTATGTCTACCACGAAATGTTCTTAGAACCCAAAAAGGTTCTACGAACAGAAGCAGTGTTCTCAGAACATAAGCCCGATGTGCGAAAACAAGGCAGTCTCAGCCAGAAATGTTCTAGGAACATTTCGAGCAGACCACAAACGGTTCTTAGAACATTCTGTTTTGGGCCTATAGGCGAGCCAGGACGCTTCGCCACTGCTTGACCTCTGGGGCGAGGGACGGGGACGCGGAGGAGGGGGCGGCCGGCAGCAGCTTGTGAACTTTTTTCTTTGTCGGCGTCTCGACATGAGCGGGAGGGGGGGAGGGGGGGTTCTGGCTCCAGACCTCTGCTCGTTGCGACTGTTTGCAGCAGTGCGTCCTCTGGGGGAGACTCCACCTGCTTGAAAGAGGCGCCAAAAACAGCCAAGATCTGCTCCATGGTGGGGTGGGGGTGCGAGGGCCCGCGCCGATCGGCAAAGCAATGAATATAAAAACGTCGGGGATCTACTGACCCCGGTCACTCCAGACCCGGGTCAGTCAGGCCCTGCAGGATCCTGCAGGATCCTGCAGAATCCTGCGCGCAAGCCCGCGTCCATGCAACCCTTGGGGAAACCAGAAGGTACCGATACCGCTACTCCCCGGACCTTCCTTCGGGGTGCGTTCTGACCAGGATTTCGAGGCGAATCCAGCGGTGGCGACGAGGAATGCCCAGGAGGCCCAACAAGGGGAAAACGAGGGATGGGTAGAGGTATGGGTACCTTTTCCCTCCTCTGAGCCCTGGCCCTGCAGGATCCGGCACTCTGGCTGACCCCCGTTTTGCATGGACCCCGTCTCAAGGCTCCCGACCTCGAACCTCGAAACTTCGCTCGGCGCCCTGGCCCGAGGAGGAGGAGGAGGAGGAGGAGGAGGAGGAGGAGGAGGAGGAGGAGGAGCGGGCGGAAGGGGCGGGAAGGGGCGGAAGGGCGGAGGAGGAGGAGGAGGAGGAGGAGGAGGAGGAGGAGGAGGAGGAGGAGGAGGAGGAGGAGGGCGGAAGGGGGAGGGGCGGAAGGGGACGGGGGGAGGACGGAGGAGGAGGAGGAGGAGGAGGAGGAGGAGGAGGAGGAGGAGAGGAGGAGGAGGAGGAGGAGGAGGAGAGGAGGAGGAGGAGGAGGAGGAGGGAGGAGGAGGAGGAGGAGGAGGAGGAGGAGGGAGGAGGAGGAGGAGGAGGGGAGGAGGAGGAGGAGGAGGAGGAGGAGGAGGAGGAGGAGGAGGAGGAGGAGGAGGAGGAGGGCCGACCCCCGTTCTGCACGGACACCCGAAGACGGTCCCTGCCGGTGCCAGCGGCCCCTCGGGGGCGGCGGTGGCGCGCGCGGCTCTGCGGGCCTGCCGCGCGGCGGAGGCTCTCCGGGCGCCTGCGGATTTGAAGGGGCCCCAGGACACACACAAAGAAATACACACAAATAAAATGACTCCCCCTATTTTCCCATATTTCCTGGGCTTCTGTCGTCTCCCCCCCACTTCCCATATTTTTTCCCCTATTTTTTCCCTGGGAATCGACGAACGATGGATTGTGCCTGTGTGTTGCTTTCCCTCCTGATGATGTTTGCTTGCAGTCCTGCTGCCGGCCGCCGCCGGGCCTCGTGCCACGGCGGGGGCGTGCCACGGGATGCTCCTCCTGTGCCCGGTGAAGTGTCTCGAGCGTTTTGGCCGCCCCTGCACTGCTTGCTCTTGCTGCTGCTTTCCCCATTCTCCCCCGCCCTCCCCTTTTGCTTTCCCCCTTTCCCTTTAAGTCGCCACGGGGCGCACCCCTCTTCGGATGGTAAAAAGTGTCTCGAGCGTTTCGGGAGGCTCACCTAGAAGGTGACCGCTGGGAGGTTCTCGTCGGAAGGCTTACAAGGAGGATGAAGCCCCTTGGGGGGCCTGTTGCGACAGATTGGGCCTCGGATTGAGCGGGATCAAGCGGGACTAAGCCGGATTAGGCGGGATTAGGCCGGATTGACCGGATTAGGCGGGACTTCGGACCAGGGCAAAAACAGAATTTGACCTCCCAGGAGATGCATCCGAAGCTTACCCCGCGCAGTCGCGCGCCCCCCTCGAGGATCGCCACCCCTTTCCGGAGCCGACTCTGTTTCATTGTCCATAGCAGCATACTGTGTGGAGAAGCATTGTTTCCAAGGGCCCCCCACAGGAGGGTAAGACCAGCCAAAAGAAACAAAGGCATACAGAAACAAACCAAATCTGCCGAGCCTTCGGCGTGTGAGAGACGCTTTTCCATTTAAGTCGTCGTCGTCGTCACCTGTCCTGAAAAAAATGAAAAACAAGGAATAGGAACGTCGTAATTAAGTCGCTTCCCGTCCATGTCTCCCTTCCCTGACAAGGGGGGGAGGGGGGGAGGTAGGAGGGAGGGCGAGGGGGCGGTGGGTGGGTGGAAGGGATGGCCCCGGGTCAGAATGCCGCCCCAGCCCCAAGATCCCGACGGGCTCTGGGGGGGGCTGCCAGCGGGGTCCCGCCTTCCGGGTTGGCGGCACCGGCCGTCAGGCCTTCGCAATATCTAAAACAACTGGGCCTTGGCGGCACCGGCCGTCAGGCCTTCGTTGGCGGGGGGGCCAGAAGGCCCAAGAGGCACCCAATACGCCCCAAGAAAGCGTCAAGTGGACGCCGAAGAGGCCCTCGAGAGCAAAAGACGTTGCTTGTCCTTCGGGGCTGGTCAATCAAAGACATACTGTGCCTTTCTGGTTTCCGAGAGCTCAAAACGGCCCAAAAGGTCCCCAAGAGGGCCCCAAGGCAGCCCGACGGGGTCCCAAAAGGGTCTCACGACGGCCCAAGATGCCCCCCAGACGACCCGAGAGGCTCCCGAGAAGGCCCAAAGAGGGGGAACCCGATCTGGCGTTGACAGCTTGTTCTTGCAGAATTGCCTCCAAGATCCAAGAGAAGCCCCAAGACGTTCCCAGGAGGCCCTAGAGACCCCAAAGAGGCCTCCCAGAGGTCCGAGCACAGACCACCCAGGGCCTGCTGAACGGACCTAAAGGGCTCCCGAGAGGCCCTAGAGAAGTTCCTGCATGCGTCATTGGCTCAACCTCCTTTGCGCTGCGCTGCTCGCGTTGGCGCGGTGGCGGGGTGAGCCGCATGGCTGTACGTTTCTGACCCAGGCGCCCTAAGTGCTGAGCCAGTTCCAGCCCTCCAAAAGCCTGAACATGTGGCATGCCAACGAGACAAACATCGTCGCAACGGGCTGTCGCTAAACATAACAATCCGTAAAATACGTATACCTGCTCCTGCTCATGAGGAAAGAGCTTGGGACGGGAGGGTGTGTTACGGTATCGAATCCATGTGCTGGAATGACTCTGATCATCCTTCTGTCATCATCCAACTCCCTCGCCCTGCTCTCCTCCCCCACCTTCTCACAGCTTTCCTCTGTAGAACCCCCCTCCCCGTCCCTCCCCGCTCGTCTATCACATGCCCTTTGGAACTGAACTCCCCTTATCCCCCTAATCTTGCATCCTCCCCCTCAAACATGTACCTTGAACTCTTTCTGCCCCTCCCTCCTCTCTGGGGAAACCAAGAGGTACCGATACCGCTACTCCCCGGACCTCTCCTGGGGTGCATTCTGAACAGAATCTCGAGGTGGATCCAGCGAGGCCGACGAGGGCCTCCCCGGGAGGCCCCCAAGAGAGGGGCATCGAGGGAAGGGCAGCGGCATCGGTACAGCAGGAGCTCGAACACAAGAAACCCAACCCTGAGACACCAGGACGTCCACTGATTTTTGGTGCGGGAGCAACACGCTTTCCATCGCAAAAATTATCGGGACCCAAGAGATCCAGGGCTCCCTGATAGCAAGCGGGATGTCTCTTGGCATGGGCGTCCACTGTATCTCTTCCTCCGATCCATCGTCCTTCTGCCCCTCCCTCCCCTCCTCCTGCCCCGCCTGTTCCCTTCTCCGCCCGCCGCCTTCGCCCCGTGTGCTTCCTGCGCTTCGCTCCTTCGCATCGTTGACCATCCGCCCTGCCCCTGCTGCTCCCTCTCCTCCTTCGTCTCCTCCTCCTCCTCCTCCCTGAGGGAAGAGCAAAGGGAGGAGCGAAGGAAAGGGCCCCTCTTCATCCTCAGCATCCTCATCCTCGTCTTCCTCCTCCTTGTCCTCCTCCTCCTCCTCCTCCTCCTCCTCCTCCTCCTGTAACCTCCGCTACCTCATTGTCTACCTCCCTCCCCCTCTTCCTTCTCCGTTGCCGTTTTGGCTGGAGGCCCAGGTTTCCGGCGAAACCCGTGAAGGCACCGCTGATCCGCGACAAGCAAGACCGTTCAACTATTCCTTCCTCCGCCGTGTTTGAAGGGGCCCTGGGACACACAAATAAATACACACAAATAAAATAATTCCCCATATTTTCCCATATTTTTTGGGGGTTTTGTCTTCCCCCCCACTTCCCATATTTTTGTATATTTTCCTGGGAGTCGACGATTAATTGTGTCTGTGTGTTTCTTTCCCTCCTGAGTGTTGCACCGCGCGGCGTCTCTTTCCCACACGGCGGCCCTGCGCTGCTCCACGAGGGCCACCCCTTCCTTCCGATGAGCGGTGCCAGGCAACCGCGTCGCGCAGCTGCTGAACCATGGCGCTGCAAGTGGCCCGAGCATGCCCAGCCTGGTACGGACTGGATCGACATGGCAGATCACATGTAGTACTCGCGGTGTGTAAACTGCCCAAAGCAAGTGCGTTCATTGGAGTTCCGCCTGCCAGCTTCTCAGCAAACCTTTCCGCCCTGATGTCTGTCTTCCCGGCAGGACAGGCGTCAGTGGCAGTGATAGGACAAGTGCTGTGACCGTGCATCTGCCTTGCACAAAACTTCAAACACCATACACGGTGGCGGTCACGCATGGCCGCATTCAACAAAAACAATCAGGTTGTCAAGGTGCTTGGCTCCAGCGACGCGGGGCTCAAGCCCAATAGGTTGGCTGAGCACGATCTGTTGGCAGCAGTCCTGGAAGCGTCGTCTTTTTGGGCCCACAGCCCAAGAAACTGGCGTGGCTTCTGCAATCGTTCATCGTCAACGGCACCATCTCCTGCGAGGTGCTCGCGCAGCCCCCGCTGCGAGACTGAGTGCTGGAGCGCGGCCACCTCTCGATAGAACTTCTGGGCGCCCCGAAATCAACTGTCATTAGCATCCACTCGAAGACTAAGGGCAGGAATAGCACGACTACATTGGAAAACTTCCCAAGACTTGCGACCGCGAGCGGCGCGAACAAGTGCACGGAGAGCTGCTGAGCGTTGATACTGGGGCCGTAAAAGGACACCCTACGCCGCCTGTTGGGGTCCTCGGCAACATGCGCGGCACCCTTACAGGCCCTGCTTGTCGAACGGGTCCAGGGGCACCTGCGCGGAGCTGATCAATTCATTGATGCCGTTTTCAAAGCCAGGGTGCTTCGCGATCCAGTAGGGGTCGTCTGGTTCGTTTTACCGCTAGGCGTGAACCTTAATCAGACAAGAATGTGATCGCTCGGCTGCCGGGGTCATGCGAGAGACCCACAGCGCCGCACCCGCGGCGCCGCATCTATAATGCCCGAGGTAGCCGCAGAGATGTAGAACCGATCCCACCCCCCAAGGCTGAGCGCGCCGACCTGAAGTCATGCTCCGCCTGGGCGTTTTCGGCCAAGTGCCCGAAGAACTTCGAACACTTCCGAACCGTGGCGTCTCATTCGGGGGCGAGGTCCCGACCATCGGTAAATCTCCTCAGATCCTTCTCCTCCAGGAAATTGAGGCCTTCCCCCCTGGAATCTCTAATGCCTGATCAGGTGGAATCGCATGCGCAGCATCAGCAGCACGAAAAACTGGTTCATTCTGAGACTCATTCAGGATCGAGTCGAGATAAATGGTTGGCCAGCTGGATGTGACCAAGTGAACGTTTTTGTGTTGAGTCGGCGTTTCGACATTGGGCCAAAAAGAAGGGGAGGGGGGGTGTCTGGCTCCGGACCTCTGCTTACTGCGACTGTTTGCAACAGCGCATCAGATGGCGGAGGGATCCACCTGCTCGAAACAAGCGCCCAAAACAACCAAGATCTGCTGCATAACGGCGGGAAGGGGCGGTGCGAAGGCCCGCGCCGACCGGCAAAACGATAAATGAGAAAACGATCACCAAGGGCCCATGGATGCGTAACTGTAAGACATCGGCCAGGCGAAGTCTCACACGACTGCACGCTGACAATCTGCGAGGAAAGGATTGGGCAAAAGAAATAGTAACATCGCCAGCGGCAGAGCAAGAGAAAACGACCCGTAGTGGCCACACCTCCGAACATCACGCACGAGGGACACAACGTCTTCTCATGATATGAAATGGACGCTGCCGCTCAGCTGGGGCGAGCCCACTTCCCCGAGGAGCGGGAACAGGAAGGACAAATCCATGGAAACCATCAGCATTTCCAGAGAAGCGGGCCGAGACAGAGCGAATAAAAGCGTGGCCCCCCTCCCTATCATGTAGCAGGGCGCGACGAGGACGAAAGTTGAATTCATGACGTCTTCCCTCAGAGATTGTTCGGCGCTGGCCTACTCGCAGCGCGTCGCGGCCGTCGTGTCGTGAGCACTGGCAGCCGCGCGATCTCCTCCTCGGTCAGCCCGCATCGCTGCAAATTCGTACGATTGGGATCCACGTGCGGCTTCTCATTCTCGACCACAAAGTCCCCGCTCACGATGAAACACAAGCCCATGTACTTGTTGCACCGCAGCTGAGTATCCTGAGAACATGTACCAGCACGAACCATGCAGCCTTTCACAAACTGCCATACCTGTCCCAAAACCCAACAGCACTTGCGGATGACGATCAGACAGTTGGATCGAACCCGCAAGCGTCGGCGGAAGCCGGCAACGTCTCCCCACTCTAGCTCGTGTGCTCGAAGTTGGATGTGCGCGCTCGTGGCGTCCATGTCGTCCTCAAGGTGAATGAATTACGCATGCTTGCAACTCCTGGTGATGGCGCGGCACTTGTCGCATAAGGTCGGCCAGAAACGAGGCTTCAGAGACTCGAAGTATGTGTCGAAAGCGGAAACCAACAGCTTGACAGGAAAACCATGAACCTAAACTCTGCGTCTCTCCTTCAGGCAGCGATACTCCCGAAAGGGCAGGGGAGTGCCATTCGAAAGGATCGAAGTGCTCCTGCCCACGGACGAGATGACCGATGGCGCTGGCGACATACTGGCAGTGGCGGAGTTCAGATCGTCGACCGTCTTCTCAAGTTTGGCGTCGGCGTTCTGCGCACCAGTGAGGTCAACGTCGGGACCCGCACCTATGATGTCGGCGTCCACCTCACCGCTGCTGAAGACGAAGCGCGGCGATCTGCTCCTGCATGTCTCCGAACCTCATGTCGTGCGTCTGAAACTTCTCATTCATATCACTGTGCACTCCATGCACATCCAAGGTCCGAATAGCAAGCACATTAGCATGAGGATGAACGCTGGCTCACCTCACCCAGCCTCGCAAGAAGCTGATCCAACTTCGCATCAATAAGCATCGCAAGATGTGTCAAGAAGACGGAAGAGAAGGAAGCGCACCCATGCGAAACTCCGGAGAAGCTCTTGTGGGACGTTTGAGCCGCCCCCTCGAGAGCGTCCGAGTATGAAGCGTCAGAGGCACACGTTTCGAACTTGAGCCAACATGATTACGGATGATGGTGATAATGCCGATGATGATGATGATGCTGGTGATGGATGATGGTGAGTGAGGATGGTGATGTTTATGATGCTGATGATGCGGATGATGATGGCGATGATGATGAGGTTGGTGATGATGATGATGATGATGATGATGATGATGCTCATGATGAAGATGACGATTGCGATGACGATGCTGATGCTGCTGATGATGTTGATGATGCTGATGATGACGATGATGACGATGACGATGATGATGGTGGTGATGCCGATGATGATTATAATGATGATGGTGATGATGATGATGCTGACGATGATGATGTTGGTGATGGTGATGGTGATGATGATGATGATGATGATGATGATGATGATGATGATGATTGTGATGATTGTGATGCTGGTGATGATGATGATGACGATGATGACGATGATGACGATGATGATGATGATGATGATGTGATGATGATGATGATGATGATGATGATGATGATGATGATGATGATGATGATGATGATGATGATGATGATGATGAAAATGATGATGAAAATGAGGTGGGTAGCGCTACTAATGGATGTGAGGATGATGATGAGGATGGCAGCGAACGAGCGAGGAGGGAAGAGGGGGGAGGAGGAGGCGAGTGCGTGCGGCGCGGGGCGCTGCTTAGTCAGAGCGAGGACCCCGCACCGCAGAGTGCTGGGCACAGAGAAGAAACACCCCGGCGGCGGAAGGCCGCCACCGGCACAGTCAGCGACAGAAGCAGGGCACCATGCTGCATAAGGGAGACCATACCTCCTCCTCCTACTCCTCCTCCTCCTCCTCCGCCTCCTCCTCCGCCTCCACACGGGTGCCCGCACGGGGTGCCATGCGTGAGGCCGTGCGGGAGGCCCCGCGGGAGACCTCGCTGGAGGCCGTGCGGGAAACCGCTCGGGCAACCGCTCGGGGAGACCCCTGCGGGGAGACCACCTGCGGGGAGACCACCTGCGGGGAGACCGGACGGAAGCCATGCGGAAGACCATCAAGCCACGTGATGCTCGGGCAGGCAGCACCCGCCCCCCCGAGAGATCCCGTGGGAGACCCGAGTCCCGGGGCAGGCAAAGCGGCCCCCCTGGCCCTCCCAGCGAGCCATCCCCAGACCCCCGACGGCATGATGCTTTCGCAACGTCGACCCCAGGAGGTCTCGACCCATTCCCCGGGACCGGTTTCTCATCCTGGGTCGTTGTTTGACGGTCCTGAGGGCCGGTGCACCCAGAGGCCGAAAAATCAAGATAAACCTCCCGTAGTGATCGTTTCGGAACTCCAGGGGGCCTGGGCCTCTAGAATTCTGCATGCAAGCTGCTCGAGGAAAAGGACCAAATCACACGGATGGAGGGCGAGTCCATTCCAGAATGGGGGTCTGGCCCTGGCGCCGCGCGCTCTCTTCCTAGACGCTTGGGACAGTGACAGGGCTGGAGGGCGGTTCCTGTTCCATTGCGGTTGTCGCCTGCGCCAAAGCTGCATGGATGTACGGCGATTCCTGTTCAACAGGGGGATCTCGCCGGAGACTTCGCGAGCTGTCACGGCCAAGAAGTTTTACAGTTGGAAGCTATGCAGCAGCTGCGCGGATATAAGGCAATTCCTTTTCGAATCGCGGCTGTCGCCAGGACTTCCTTTGAACGGGAAAAACCGCCTCGTCGCAATCCTGGTAACTCGAAATGCGAAAAGCTGGTTCTTTCCGAATTGAGCTCCAGCCTAAATTGCGGGCCCACGGGGTGCTCGTCTTTCATGGGGGTCTTTGTCCGCAACGAAAAGAGTGTATGCGGGGGCCTATGAGGAGCGGAGGGTGTATTGCAGCATCGTTGGTACATGTTGGGCTTACTCTGGTCCTCCTCCTCTTCCTCGTCCTCCTCCTCCTCCTCCTCCTCCCTCCCCCCTTGCTCCCCATGCTCCCCCATGCATTCTCTTGCACGCAATACTCCTGCTGCTGCTGCTCCCCTCCTCCCCCTCCTATTCATCCTCCCTCGTCCCTCCGTCCCAACGCCATCGTCCCTCCCTCTCCCCATCATCCCCCCAGGGTCCCTCATCCAAGGGCACCCCCTCCCTCCTCCGCTCCTCTCTCCTCCCTCCCTCCCTTCCTCTCTCTCTCTCCCCTCCCCGACTCCCCTCCTGCTGCCCCCCCCCCCCAGCCGAAGCCGGCGCCCCGCGCCGCGGACGTCTTGCACCATGCTCAGGCCCCGGAAGAAAAAGTGGACCCACCCGGGGACCTTCTCGACGACCTCGCCCACGCACCGGCCTCCCTCCCCCATCCTGGGGGAGGATAGCGAGGCGAGGGTGGGAAGAGGAGGAGATGGAGGATGAGGAGGGGGAAGAGGATATCGTGCAATCTGGGATCCTCCAGCGGGTGTTTCTCAAGCTGATTGGGGTGAACATCATCATCATCATCAGCAGCATCATCATCATCATCATCATCATCATCATCATCATCATCATCATCATCATCATCATCATCACCATCACCATCACCATCATCATCATCATCATCATCATCATCATCATCATCATCATCATCATCATCATCATCATGTTCGTCATCTTTCTTCTCGCATCCTCAGGTACAAAATGCAGATCCTGCAGCCGTACTACAACATCCTGGCAGGCCGGTGCGCCTTCTAGCTCTGGATCGTGTGGACCGAGGCCAGAGTCAGCCTGGTTCACGTGCAGAAGGAGCAGCGGGGGAAGAGGATATTCGGGCTCTTTACAACCAGAACAACACTATACAACCGACATGGAACATTTTGCAACCAGCAATTGGTTTCCTTTGAGCACGACCACTTTACAACCAGAACGGCTCTACAACCCAGGCGGGGCTCTTTACAACCAGCGCTCCGAAGATTTCGAAGGCTCAGCAGATGCTTCTGAATTGTCTGTGCGCCTGAACGTTATGCAGAGGCTTCTGAGATTCCTGAGCGCTTGAGCGCTCTTCAGTGAGGCCTCTGAGGTTCCTGACAGCTCGAGCGCTCGTCAGAAGCTTCTGAGGCTTCTGAGCGCCTACACGGTCTGCGGAGGCCCCTGATGCTCTGGAGCGCCTGAGCGCTCGGCAGAGACCTCTGATGCTTCCGAGTGCCTGAGAGCTCTGCAGAGGCTTCTGAGATTGCTGAGCGACGCGGAGGAGGAGGAGGGGGAGGAGGAGGAGGAGGAGGAGGAGGAGGACGAGGAGGAGGAGGAGGAGAAGGAGGAGGAGGACCGCTGCCACGTGGGACGCGTTTTCGTCCTCAGTCCCTGAGGACCTCTCCTGATCCTCTGGGGGCCGGCGCTGGCCGTGGAGAGAGGCCCGCTGAGGCCGGCGTGGATCCCTCCGGCGGCCCTCCTGGGCCAGTTTGGGGACCCTGTTGGACCGCCACGCGTGCTCACTGGTCATCTGTGTTCGTCGCCATTGAAGGGGCCCTGGGACACACAAATAAATACACACAAATAAAAAGATTCCCTATATTTTCCCATATTTTCTTGGTTTTTGTCTTCCCGCCCAATTCCCATATTTTCCCATATGTTCTAGGGAATCGACGATGAATTTGTGTCTGTGTGTTTTTTCCCCTCCTGAGCCATGCGTCATTGCTGCTTGTCTCCGCCGTCGCAAGGAGGAGGGGCCGCGAGGAGGAGAGAAGGGGCAGACGAGCAGCGAGTGGGAGCCCTGGGGAGGAGAGTGTGGATGGGGGGTGGAGGGCGCCTGTCGTCTTCGTCGTTCGTCGTCGTCGTGGCCAAGCGTGCGCCGTCAATCGTCAGTCGTCGTCTTCTGTGGTCGTCCGTCGTCGGTCGCCGTCGCCGCAGTGCTCTCTCGCGCGCGCGCGGCTCCCGGTGGAGATGAGAGGGGTGAGGAGGGCGAGGCTGAAGAGGATGATGTGGAGGATTTAACGGGCGAAGAACGGTATAAAATAAACTTTTTCGCCGTCGGGGACACCTGCCCCAGCGCGGCTGGAAAGTTTATACCCTTACGGTGGCACCGTAGGGGTATAAACTTTCCAGCCGCCCGGGGGCAGGTGTCCCCGACGGCGGAAAGTTTGTTTTATACCGTTTTTCGCTCGCTGAAGGATGAGGGGAAAGAGGACGATGACGATGAAGTTGATGGAGGAAGCTGGGAATCGGGAGGACGAGGAGGGTGAGGAGCAGTGCTCGGCACATGTTCGGCCTCCCTCGACAATCTGGAGGGTCGTGGGCCGTGGAAGGGGGCCGTGGAAGGGTCGTGGAAGGGGGCCGTGGAAGGGGGCCGTGGAAGGGGGCCCGGTCAGGCCGTCTCGGATCATTCGGGAAGCCCTGTTGGGCCAGCTTGGGTTTTTCTTGCGCCGTCGCGCATGTTCACCCATAATCGTCGTCGTCGTGGTCCTTGGTTTTCGCCGGTTGCCGTCATGCGTCGTTTGCCATCGTCGTCGAAGGCTGGAGGGCCGTGGGAACAGGACTCGGATAGGTGACGGGCGAGGGGGGGGATGGGGGAGGAGAGGCAAGATGGAGACTGGAGGGCGTCTATCATCGTCGACTGCGGCCGTTGGAATCAGGAGGATGAAACTATGAGGAGCATTACATAAAAATTGTGTGGGGGGAGCTGAGCTGAGCGAGGGGGTTGACATGATGCTGGCGGCATTGGTGATAATGACGATTTCTATCTCAACATCGACAATGAAAATGATGATGACGATTATGAGGCAAATCATGGTGGTTTGCGATGACGATGAGGATGAGGAGGATGAGGAGCAGAGCAGGAAGACCACGAGGCCACCGCCAGTCGTTTCTGCTGTTGTCGTCGAGGTCGGAAGGAGGAAGGGCGTGGGAGGACGAGTCGAATACATGAGGAGTGAGAGGGGCGGGGGGGCGAGGGAGGAGCCCCCTGGGCCGTTCTTGGGTGTCTTGGGTCGTTTGGGCGCCCTCCTGGCCGCCCGAAGGGCTCGGGGACGGGCCTTCTGAGGCCGTCGTGAGCTGTCGGAGGACCTCGTGAGGCCGTCGTGTGTCCTTCCTGGGACCCCCTTGGGCAGGGGCCGTCTTTCGGCGGTGGACAAACCTCCCTGTAGTAAACCTCCCCCTAGTGAAAACGGCCTGGGACCGAAACCGACGGACCTGGACCCGCAAAAATGACGGCCGCGGCGCCCTCTCGCGAACCGAAAACGGCCAATTCACTAATCGACATATCAGGGTAGGAGGTCTGCCCACCCCCGAATCTTAGGGAGCATATTGGCCCCGTCTGGGGCTGCCAAGAGTCAAACAACCGGCAACGACGCAAAGACATGACAAAACTGCCGCGCATGAGCAGGTTTGAACATGGCAGGCGCGTCAAGAGGGGCACTGGGTTTGCTTCAGCCCCTGGGTGTGCGCGCAACGCCACTCCACGTCCACTGCAAGTGCGCCTCAGCAGCGGCCGGCCGCACCAACCACCGTGTCGAAAACCTTCGTGCTGCGAGTGCCCTCCCCCTTCCCCCTTGCTCCGCGGCCGCCATCTGCCCTGTCTAGTTGTTTTGTTGTTCTCTCCCTCTCTCTCTCTCTTTCTCTCCCTCTCTCTATCTCTCTCTCCTGCCGCCACAAAAAAAAATCGATGCTTCGCCCCAGCGAGAGCGCGCGAGCGGGTTGCCTCTGCCGCGCCGCGACGGAACAAAATCAGAATAGGCACGGTTGAATGCCAGTAGGACGGGTTCCTGTTAGATTCCAATAGGGTTTCATAAGGGAGGAGTATCAAAGGATCTCCAACTGGAACCAATATCTCCTCTTGGAACCCACAAGGACAACAAGAGGACTCCTGTAGGTTTACAGTAGGATTCCAGCAGGAGGGGTCCTTGTGGGATAAGTTCGGGTCCTGATAGGGGTCCTGATTGTACTCCCATATGTCACGAAAAGCAAGGATTCCGAATGAATTCCAATACGATTCCCTTCGTTTTCGCCAAGATGTTTCCAATGGTCTTCCAATGAAACCTCGGTCGGGCTTCAATTTGGGATGCTAATGAATTTCCCGCAGCCTTCCGCTAGGAAGGCTCCCCGATTGTAGCAGGTTCCCGTGCGGTTCCCATTCGGAAGAAGACCAACATGTTTGCAACACAATGCACCGGCATTGGACTCCAATAGGACACCAATCGGCCCCATAAGATCACAGTCGGAAGTGTACCAGTACGAATATGATCAGCTTCCTACCGGATGTCCATAGGCCATAGGAATTCGCTGCTTGACATAGTGTTGCTTCAGATGAAGCACTTTACAACTAGCGAGCTTCAGATAGCGAGGTGTCTCCCTTAACGCACCTGGACACACAGAGCCCTCGGACATTGAAACGAACTTGTCGCTAATGTGCGTTGGCGCGCCCCGTTGTTCAGTAGCCTTCCCGGTTGTAAAAATGCCCGTCTGGGAACAGTCATTCCGTTTTGTAAAGTGCCGTTCCAGAAAAGGCACGCCCCGCGCGAAGGGGGAGGCCCCGCCCCGCGCGTTGCACGTTCCACGCGGCGTAGGGTTTGTCCGCCCCGTCGGCGGGCCCCGGAAATGATCACCAGGTGATCCTGGCCTGAGCCACGCCAGTGGACCGCGCGGCGTCCTCCCGACAGCGCGCCGCCCGCGGCGACGGGGAGGCCCGCGGCCCGCGCGGCAGCAGGCCCCAGAGGAGACGGGAGGCGGCTCTCCTCCCCGCGCCTGCGGGGGGGAAGCGCTCCTCCTTCCAGTCGATGGCCTTGGAGGGAGAGGAGGCGCCACCGCGGCGAGAACACAGGGCTACCCCAAGCACGACCTGAAAATGAGGGAGGCGGGCGAAGTGAAACGTCGGATTGCAAAAAAAAACCGAAGGATTCCAAAAAACCAAAGGTTTGCAAAAAAAAAAACAGGATTGCAAAAAAAAACCCAGGATTGCAAAAAACATGTTTTTTTTGCTATCCTGGGTTTTTTTGCAATCCTTGTTTTTTTTGCAATCCAACGTCTGGCCCAGAGTGGCTGTACAAGGACGCGTGGCCCAGGACTCGGTCGTGCTAACGCCCTGGCTTCCGAATCCAATTCCACATCGCGTGCTTCCTGAAATCTGCTCAAACACGCGCTAGGCACGGCTGTGCTGCTTGGGGGCCGCCAGCTTCCCTTTGCCTCTCGGGGCTGGTGGCGGGAGGGGGGCCTCGAAATTGGGCGACGGCAAGCCGATTCTGAAATTGGGGCTAGATCTACAAGACGGGTCTGACGGCCTACAAGACGGGTCTGACGACCAAGTCGGGCAATTTGGGCCCTGCTGACGGCGTCTGCTGTAATCCAATCGGCCAACGGCCAACTCATT